TTTAGAAGTCATGATTTTCGAAGAAAAAAATTGAAATTAATTTTTATTTCGAAAACGGTAACAGATAGGTATAGGGAAATATCAAGAAAAGTTGTCGGGCAATCGTTGGAGATTTCAAAAATAATATTATATACAGAGTGTTCCATTTGAAAAATCAAAGTTGCTGCTGCTTTCTAATAGAAGCGGCAACACCGCATTGTCGAAAATATTTTAGTTGGCTAGAGAATGTCCGAATATGCCCTCCATTAAAAAGTGATCCGTTGTCTGGTTCACCAGGAATGTCCACCGTGAGTCAGCCTGTATATACAGTTTTTAATACAAATTATTTAATGCTACGCCACTGCACATTTAAATCAATAACTGATGATTCTCTGTTGGATTTCAAAACTATTTTGCCTCTTGCAATTTATTCATGTTTCGATTCGTTTTCTTGAAAATTGAATATTTGTGTCGGAGATATCAACAGGCGACTAGACAAGAAACCCAAAAAAATGAATTGCATTTCCTCTTATAGGGAAGGAATATTCATGCCTGTATGAATATGTTGAGTCAGAGGTATCCAAAAAAATATAGTCATGTATATAGGTAACGATGGATGTTTATCACTTCTTGAAGGGTATGGAGATATCTTCAGTTTTTCAATACAAAATATTTAATGCTACGCCACTGCACATTGAAATCAATAACTGATGATTCTCTGTTGGATTTCAAAACTATTTTGCCTCTTGCAATTTATTCATGTTTCGATTCGTTTTCTTGAAAATTGAATATTTGTGTCGGAGATATCAACAGGCGACTAGACAAGAAACCCAAAAAAATTAATCGCATTTCCTCTTATAGAGAAGGAATATTCATGCCTGTATGAATATGTTGTGTCAGAGGTATCCAAAAAAATATAGTCATGTATATAGGTAACGATGGATGTTTATCACTTCTTGAAGGGTATGGAGATATCTTCAGTTTTTCGAAACAAAATATTTAATGCTACGCCACTGCACATTGAAATCAATTGATGATGATTCTCTGATGGATTTCAAAACTATTTTGTCTCCTACTATTTATCGAAATTTCGATTCGTTCTCTTAAAAATTGAATATTTGTGTCGAAGGACTAGACAAGAAACCCAAAAAAATAAATCGCATTTCCTTTTAAATTGAAAAAATATTTATGCCTGTATGAATAATATGGTTATGATGAGTCCGAGATATTCCAAAGGAATATATTTATATGGGCGAGTATATGGGTAATGCTGATGATCATTACTTCTTGAACGATATAATAATTATGTAGGTATATCTTCAGTTTTTCGATACAAAATATTTAATACTACGCCACTGCACATTACAATCTACTACTGATGATTCTCTGATGGATTTCAAAACTATTTTGTCTCTTACTATTTATTGAAATATCAATTCGTTTTCTTGGAAATTGGATATTTTTGTCGGAGATATCAACAGGCGACTAGACAAGGAACCCTAAAAAACAAATCGCGTTTCCTCTTTTAGTGAAGGAGTATTCATGATGCCTTCATGAATATATTATGTTGAGGCAGAGATATATAAAAAAAATTGAGATATATAGGTAGGTAATAATGGATGTTGATCACTTCTTGAAGGATATATGTATGTAAGTATAAGTACCTATAGGTATCTACAGTTTTTCGATACAAAATATTCAATGCTACGCCACTGCACATTGAAATCTATAACTGATGATTCTCTGATCGATTTCAAAACTATTTTTTCTCTTATTGTTTATTGAAATATCAATTTGTTTTCTTGGAAATTGAATATTCTTGTCGGAGATATCAACAGGCGACTAGACAAGAAACCCTAAAAAACAAATCGCATTTCCTCTTTTAGTGAAGGAATATTTATGCCTTCATGAATATATGTTGAGTCAGAGATGATAAAAAAAATAGATATATAGGTAGGTAATGATGGATGATGATCACTGCTTGAAGGATATATGTATGTAAGTCTAAGTATAGGCATCTACAGTTTTTTGATAAAAAATATTTAATGCTACGCCACTGCACATTGAAATCTGTAACTGATGATTCTCTGATCGATTTCAAAACTATTTTGTCTCTTATTGTTTATTGAAATATCAATTCGTTTTCTTGGAAATTGAATATTCTTGTCGGAGATATCAACAGGCGACTAGACAAGAAACCCTATAAAAAATTAATCGCATGTCCTCTTATACACATACAATTAAGAATTTGTGTAATTTCACGCCACTGAATGGAAATGGAATTTGGTTATCTGATTGGTTCTTGAAATATTCCGTTTTTTGCAAAATCTGATACATCTTTTAGTTATCTCAAAAAACAATGAAATGTATTAGAGATATTGATAGGAGACCATCATAAGAAAAACCTTAAAGAGATATTTCGCCTTCTAATAACCAATAACTTTACGATCAATTCGCGGATTTGAAATAAAAACCTTCCGAAAGGTAAACAATTAGGTAGGTACTCTGAATGAAAAAAAAATCCATCTAAATGGACACAGTTTAGGTATGTGGTTGATCTGCTACTCACCAACACTTGTGAAGAATTCGCTTATCGTATCTTCAGTGGCGTATAACTAGAATTTTTTGTCCCCAACGCAAAATACATGAGGAGGCCCCCCTTTTAAATAAAAATATAGAAACGAGCTAAACGAGCTCTATTTTTCGATTCATGTTATTTGACATATACATCACTTCTAATGGACCTGTACCTTACGTATTCGTTGGGTAAGAATCCTGAATTGTTGCCAAGTCCATATTTATGTTGTCAACATTTCTTCCTCGTTCGTTTCTGATTTGCCTGGCTGGTATTGGAGCCCTGTAAGAGAAGGCGGTATGGAGGGTACTATCATCCGCGAAGCTGTGTACTGGACATGAAGTTGCCTTCAACATATCGTTGATATGGAGTAGAAATAGTGTTGGTGCTAGAATCGATCCTTGCGGAACACCATCATTTATGGTAGAAAACTGGCTAGCAGAGAACATAGCTGGGGAGGCAAGCCATAAGATGGAAGCTTGGCGAGGAGTCCGTGGTGCCAGACTCGATCGAATGCCTGGGAGACATCAAGTGCCACGGCTAAGGTTTCACCATATTTTTCAATAGATTGTTGCCATATGTGTGAGACGTAAGCGAGCAGGTCACCAGATCTCTGATGACGGAAGCCATATTGCCTATCGTTTTGATTATACCTGAATGTGCCAGGTATTTCATGAGCTCGATGTTGATAGCTTTCTCCAGCATGAACTTTGAAATAATAGATAGCAGTGCGATCGGTCTATAGTTGCTAGGTAGGGTCTTTTTGTCTTTTTTAGGAACTGGTTGTACTCTTGCAATTTTCCAGTTGGACGGGAATATCCCCAATTTGTAAGAGTAGTTGAACAACATGCAGAGAACAGGTGTTAGTTCGGGAGCACATTTCTTGAGAACAATTGGTGGGATTCCGTCGGAGCCACAAGCTTTGTTGGTGTTGAGAGACTCAATAAAATCTGTCTTATAGTACGTTGGCGAAAGGTGAATGAATTCGTTGATAGGTAAATAGTATGAAGAAATTCGTTACCGATGATAGTGCGTCAAAATATGGAAAGTCAGTGAAATGGACGTCCTGTGTTCGAATCCGAAGTGATGTTCAGCCTATCTTCTCTCGAGGCCCCGACGTATTGCGCTCACTCGTCTTATGCTAGTTACGCCACTGCTTAACTCAGTCGGCGTTGGCAAGGAAACGATACAAAGCACGCTCGCTTTCCGTTATCTTCGGCCCGACATTCTTTTTTTTTTTTGTTTCGGCCTACTACCGCGTGAATTGTTTACGATCCATCTCGATGTATCGGGAGATCAGATATCATGTAATTAATCGAAACGCTATTAATTGCAGGGCTGGCACCGGGCTGAGTTACGATTGTTTAATAATCTGGGACCCGAGGGGCTACGAGGCATAGTCCCCACCTATAGACGTTGGCGGAGTTATCCAAGGGGGGTCATACATAACGATTGGCAGGCCATTGTTTTCTGCGGAAAAATCGGAATGGTTATCGAAGATTTCTCACGATGTTATCAATGGTAAAATAGGATTGTACACACTAATCGAATTCACGCCATTCACATACCAATTTTATATTGATCATGCCGTGTATTTTAATGCAAACAAAAAACAAGCATGCCTTTTCTCTAGAAAAGCCGATCTCACTGTGCCAAACATAAGCATGTCAGTAGTGACCATATCTTTGAAGACATCCATTTCGATGCTTGGTATTACTATCAGCAATAACCTTTCTTGGGAAAATCACGTGAGATCAATTGCTAAAAGTGCATCCCAAAAACTTGGTTTTCTGTTTCGGGCCAGAAGCTATTTCACTTCCAGTCAGCTGCTTATGATCTATAAGGCACAGTCCTGGAATACTGTTCCCATATTTGGAGTGCAGCACCCAAACATACCATGAAACTGTTGGATCATGTCCAAAAAAGGGCAATTCGTCTCGTGGGTGATGCCTCGCTCACAAACTCACTCACTTCTCTGGAACACCGTAGAAAAGTTGGCCATCTGGCTCTATTTTATAGATATTTTCATTGACGATGCTCTTCTGAAATATCAACAATTGTTTCCCCCTTGGCAGTCCCCGCGAGATTAACCAGTCGAGTTGAGGCTTCGCACCCCTTCGTGGTCACTTTGGAGACCTGCAGAACATCTCTTTCCAAAGACTAGTTCATCCAACGAACAGCGAGGCTCTGGAACACATTGCCAAGGGAGGTGGTCCCCGAGGCATATAACCTCAAGAAATTTAAGAACACCAATTCCTTACTTATTTCCCTTGGTTCTCACGATGTTCTCTGAACATTACAGGATATCCCTTTCGGTGGGAACCAGAACAAAACAAAAAAAAAAGGGACTATCTAACCACCTGCAAACCCCCATTCCGCTCGCAGCGATTCCACGTGATCACCCCCAACTTCTTTCGATTCCAGGCACACCCCCTCGTCCCCTGGCATGACCTGCCGTGCCTACACCACCACCAACGACTGGGACATCAACGACAGCGCTATACCGAGGATCGACGAGTACGATCCTTTCAGCGAATGGGCGGACGGCCATTGCCGATTAGTATACAGGGCGGACAGCGAGGAGGCCAAGAGGCACTCCTCGGGCTGGGCCATGCGGAACACCAACAACCACAACGTGCACATCCTGAAGAAGAGCTGCCTGGGGGTGCTGGTGTGCTCTTTGAGGTGCACCCTGAGCAATGGGGACACGGTGCACCTGAGGCCGGCCATATGCGACAAGGCCAGGAAAAAACAACAAGGTCTGTTCGGTGTGTATCGATCTAGTATACCTTCTATATTAGTTATAGTAGCCAAGCCAATTAATTAACTCAACACCTGTTGCTCACTCAATATCTACCTGTTGCTCAGGAAAAATGCTTTCCCGACCCATATATCGTGTTTCCAACACTCGTTGCACTCGAAAACCGAACTCAATACCTGTTACTCACCACAACAACCTGATGCTCACTCGAGACAACATGTTGCTAGCTCAAAACAATCTGTTGTTCAGGTTGCTCACTCACAACAACTTGTTGCTCGTTCACAACAACCTTTTGCTCACTCTCTTACTACCTGTCGATCCGGAAAACCACTTCCTGGCCCTCTTTATCGCTATTCCAGTAATTCTTGTTCTCGAAAACCCTACACAACACCTGTTGCTTGGTCAGTAATCATCTGTTGCCCAGGAAAACCACTTCCCTGAATCCTTCATCGTGTTTTTCATCGCAAGTTGCTTTCAAACAATTTACTCGACACCTGTTGCTACCTTCCTACCTACCTGTTGGTCGGGAATAATCCTTTCCTGGCCTAATACAGTTTTTTTCATCACTTGTTCTCAAAAACCTCATCTATAGCACCTGTTGCTCACCCACAATAACTTGTTGCTCACTTACAATAACCTGTTTCTCATTCACAACAATCTGTTGCTCACTCCCTAACAACCTGTTGCTCACAAAAACCACTTCCTTGGCCATTTCCATCGTTTTTCACTTCTGGCGGCCCACCGAGCACGCCATCTTCCAGGTGAAGGGGATGCACGACCACCCCAAGCCAATAAATTCACTCAACACCTATATCTCACTCACTATAACTATCTGTTGCTCAGGAAAAATGCTTCGCTGACCCCTTTATCGTTATTCCACCACTTGTTGCTCTCAAACATCTTACTCAACACCTGTTACTCAATCAAAACAGCCTGTTGCTCAATCAAAACAACCTGTTACTCACTCACAACAACCTGTTGCTCGCTCACAAGAGCATGTTGCTTGCTCACAACAACCTGTTGCTCACTCACAACAACCTATTGCTCATAAAAACCACTGTCCTAACTTTTCCCATCGTTTTTCCAGGAAAACCCTACCCGGGCTGCCAGTGCATGGACCCCCAAATCGAATTTCCACTACTATTTGCTCTCGAAAACCTCACCCAATACCTGGTGCTCACTCGCAACAGTCTGTTTCTGACTCACAACAACCTGTTGATTACTCACAACAACCTGTCGCTGCCTCACAACAACCTGTTGCTAGTTCACAACAACCTGTTGCTCGTTCACAACAACCTGTTGCTCGTTCACAACAACCTGTTGCTCGCTCCCTAACAACCTGTTGCTCGGGAAAAGCACTTTCCTGACCTCCGAATCTTTTTTTCCAGGGAAGCCGTGTCCGAACCGGCAATGCACGGGCCGGCTGGAGATCCTGCCTTGCAGGGGCCACTGCGGCTACCCGGTGACCCACTTCTGGCGGCACACCGAGCACGCCATCTTCTTCCAGGCGAAGGGGATGCACGACCACCCCCGGCCGGAGGCGAAGAGTACGTCAGAAGCGCGGAGGACGTTGGGGACGGGCCGAAGGGTGCGAGGTCTGGCAGTCTTGCTGGCCAAGGAGGCGGCATTGGGGAATAAGGTGGGTGGTTGTTTATGGATTTATGGATTTCGGAATTTTTGGATTTTCAAATTTTTCAGCTGATTGAAAGTTCTGAGACTTTTCAAGATTTTTGACTATGAAAAAATTTCCAAAAATGATATTCTCATATTATCTATTCTTTTGAACGCACTAAATTTCCAATTGATATAATATGAACTTTTTGAAAAGGAATATTCTCAGATATATAATGAACATCAAAAATGCATTATTGAAATGAATGAAATATCTCGAATAGAGCTCGATCCTTAACGAAAATATCATTGAATCAATGAATCACTATCGGCTACATTCAATGATACTATCCTTCCTAATTTACTGTCATCGGTCAGAACAGAATGAAGCCGACACCCATGGCTTCTTCCTCTTGTTGTGCCTGTCAGTATTTTGAGTGGTGTGGACGGACTCGAAGTATCAGGAGGGGCTGTTGCTAGATATAATCGGCAACTTTCCTAGAAAATAGATCCGTTTTATCAAGGAACGAATTTATTCGCAAAAAAATGACTGACAAGTTATGAATAACATATTGTAATATAACGATACTATCATATACCATATTGCTGTTATGATATAGTTATTATAATGCATTCAAAGAACAATTTCCGGAAATCTATATAGACATATTGATGATGTCGGCAACGTCGTACTGACACAGGAAATCGTATTTTAACTGTGTGTGAATGTCTATTTTCAGAAGGTACGTCATAGGAATGGTGGAGGAGCCAAGTTCCTCTTTTATTCACTTTTTTCTGAAGTTAAATTTGATCTCACGAAAAAAAGAAAAAAAATCGTGTATATTATTTTTTCACAAACTTCACAGTGAGAGAAGAAAATCATTTTTCGAGTCGGATAATACCACTCTGTATAAATCTTGTGAAATCAATCGTCCCGAAGCAAGCCATCGATTATTACTATTCGTAGGCTCGCTTCGGATTAATATATTCGATCCGGTTAATAACTGGTTAGATGTAATAACCAATGCTCCATCTATCCTGCTCATCAATTCCTTCAAAATAAATAGAATAACTAGCTGGATAAGTTGGCCACACCGATTTAATTATAGATCAAACGCAGATTCGTCCTGAAAGCTGTTATTACCCGGTCTGAGTGCCTGAGGGTACCCAACATTGACAAAACGTATGGTTGTGCACTCGTCTATATTTAGTCGATTTAATTACAGGGTGGCGTTGTTTTAACTGTAGGTACTTAGTTTCGGGCAGTACACATTGTTATTATGTATTTAGAAGGACTGATGAGGCCACCCTATACCCAATAATTCTTTGGGTTTGGATTCGATATGTCGACGAAATTTTTGCCAATTTTGATACGAAAATCACCGATATAGATAACTTTATTTCACAATTGGATAATTGTTTCTCCTCTATCAAATTCACATTTGAATGCGAAAATAACGGCCAATTACCATTCTTAGATGTTCTAGTGATCAATAATGGCAACAACAATTTAGAATTTGATTCATTATTCCAGATTTTTTTGGATTTTCTCTCCTCGTTTCTATAAAATTGAAATATGAATATTATTTCAATGTACGTGTAAATCAGATGATTTGCCCCAAAATGTCACTATACGTTTGAAGAATTTCACTATCAGAGAGCCTGAAAGGAAAATTCACTAGCTTGTCAGTGACAATTTGTATTGGAAAAAGTTTGGAGAAGAGATATAAAGGTATATAGAAAAATATCAAATTTTTACTTAGCTTCGGACGTTTCGGGAACGAATCTGCTCCCGTTTTCAACATAAAAAATGGATTTTTTGTATCGCAAATTCGTATTTCTCCTGACACTTTTGAGTCTCAGTGACAATGGGCGTGTACACCTTAGTAGAACATGGTAGAACTTTTAAGTCAAACCATGTTTATAATGATCCTTTTATACATAAATAATGATTGACGACATAACTCTATCGAAAAATTAACTGGAATGTTTTATTTTTGGACATAAATTATAGTACTTTCTGAAAACGGACCCTCTTATGACGTAGAAACCTCATCTCGCCATAGTTAAAAGAAAATACCAAACGCCCGACGGAGACTGAGGCAACTGATGTATTAATTCTTTCAACTGTGATCTCGCGCTAATTACTCTCTCAGAAATCATGTATCATTCATCTCTGTCTGGAATAGTCTTGTTTCAGTATCAGGGTTTTGACGTCACATCATCGCCTCGTTTTCAGAGGTCCGAAAAATCGGGGATTTCAATAATTTTTTATAAAACGTAGGGAGCTCACAGCAAGAAACGGTTTGCGGTGGTGAGCTAGTTTGGGTGAGTTCTATCGAATTATGAAATAAATTTATTTTGTGATACAAGCCTATTGGTGATGTTGGCAATCAAATGAGTTACAGGATGTTTTCATTAATTAATCTTGAATTTACGCAGTGACATTTTGGGGCAAATCATCTGATTTATCCTTACTAAACGTTTATTGAAATAATATTTATATTTTTATTTTATAGAAACGAGGGGAACAAGTCCCAAAAAAACTGGAATAATGAATGTATCACCTCGTCGATTAACCTACAGACAGTATTCAATGATACACGAAGTTTGATGTGTACACATTTTCAAAATTTACAATTCCTCCTGTTTTGATTCATATCTATATCGAACTTATATGTTTTTTTTTTGTTTCAGTTGATGTCTTTGAGAGAACCAAAACGACAATGTAGAGAAATAACGAATCAAGTCCCAAGAAATATAAATCCTCAGGTGATAATATCGGATACTGAAAAAGGTGAGCTCAAGAAAATAATTATTTTAAAACTACTTATTCAGGGTATTTCATTAGGAATTATTTCAAGAAAATGCATGGGGATATTTTTTGGATCAAATTAGGAAATAAGTTCCTCTTGATTTCCAAGATACAAGGTGTTTAAGTCGTATTTTTATCATCGAAAGGTTGCTAGGTTCGAATCCCCGGTATGGCAGAGAATTTTTATTCATAAAACGAATTATATTTTCTAATGTTCGTAGCCTCGGCCGGAGATGATTCCGCTATTGCATTCCAATTAACAGTACTGCTCCTAAGATGGCGTATGGTGTTAGTAACAAAGCCTATACAGAACACACATAGGCTGAAGGACATCTCGTAAGGTCGATGGCTAGTTGGTATAATTATGTTGTACATTCATACCAAAGAAGTACATAGACTACCTACTACTACTACTACTACTACTACTACTACTACTATCTAGCTATCCAAAAATGTAATACAAGCAAGAATGGAAAAGGTGTGCCTCGAACTAGTAGAAATATATGTAGGTTGCGCCTCCTAAATATCAATCAAATTTCGCATGTCAAAGAACCTCTAGATACCATGTTTCATCTAAATTTCCAAATTATTGCAAAAAATATCCAGGAAAAACAAAAACGAAAATGTACTTTCGAGAGGTCTTTTCCTCATTCTGACTTAAGAAATATCCCTGAAAATTTTTTCGCTATATTATATTCAACTAACTCACTCATATCAACTATTTTTTCAGGGTATTGTTCCTGTCCACCCTTCGAATGCATCTGCAGCTACCAACAGCCATTCATAACCTCCGTCAACCCCTACCCCACGTCTCCCACCTCCTACCAACAACCCCAAATGGTCGAACCCTACTGGCCCCCCGAAACGCCCCAACAGCAACCCTACCAAACGGACCTCGCCCCCCTCAACCACCAATACGACTTCCCCAACATCCCCACGGACCTTTTCCAGCCCGAAGAGATCTTCCAGTTGGACCACCCGACCAAACCGGACTACGTACCGGTCAACCAGAACCCGGACTTGGCGTCCAGGAGTCCACCTACCCTGCTGGACCTAGGCAGCGGCACCATCCACAAAGAGTTCAAGACGGAGGACTACTGGAGCCCCAGCATCAGCAACATGCTGAACGACGACAGCAACGCCAGCAGCAACAGCAACAGCAGGTTCAATTTGAGCCAGAGTCCGGATAACAGCCAGGTCTTGCTCAACAATAACCTGCCGCAGGTCGATCACACCCTGTATTTGGACCCAAAAGTAGCTGAAAGTCACTTTCCGATGCAGAAGAGCCACTACTATCCCCAAAGCTCTAGCTATGAATTGCCGGAGAGCAAAGCTGCTTACGCAGTGGAAGAGAAGTGCTTTCCTAGCTTCGAGACCTACCAGACCCCCAAAACCTATTCTAAGTCAATCTACCCCGATGAGTATATCGATCTCACACAGTACAACGAGTACAACCAATTGTTCAATGTGTACGACAATAGCAAAGCTAGTAGCGAAAGTAGTTCAATGTTCAATGATCTCGATTTTAGGATCTCGACTAACCCTAGCTGCGCCCCTAGTATTACTAATTTGCATAGCTATAGTCATGACTCTTTCGATGTGATTCCCCACCAATAATGTGTTTGTTAAAGTTTGAATATGAGTGCCTTGTTCCCACTATAATGCTTTCCATGATCTTCAATACGAAAGACAACTTGAGTTGTTTCGATTTTTGTATATACTGTATATAAAATATATAGATACATAGTTGTGATATTGAAGCAGAGTTTTATTTCGAATTGATCCTGATAAACCCATAATAAAGATGATCGAAGCTGATGACTCCAAGCACATTATCTAGTTGATATATGTGCGAGTTCAATAATGAACCAGACACAGTACCACTACAAAATTTTCGACTCAATGAAAGCAAAAGTTCAAATTTTTTATATCCTCGATACCTCCAATCTGAGATCCTAGTTAGTTTTCCATTGCCACTATGAATCTTCTGGATCTCACGTCACAATCTCTATTAATTCCGTGGAACCATCCACAAAGAGTTCAAGACGGAAAACTATTGGAGCCCCAGCATCAGCAACATGCTGAACGACGACAGCAACGCCAGCAGCAACAGCAGGTTCAATTTGAGCCAGAGTCCGGATAACAGCCAGGTCTTGCTCAACAATAACCTGCCGCAGGTCGATCACACCCTGTATTTGGACCCCAAAGTGGCTGAGAGCCATTTTGCGATGCAGAAGAGCCACTACTATCCCCAAAGCTCTAGCTATGAATTGCCGGAGAGCAAAGCTGCTTACGCAGTGGAAGAGAAGTGCTTTCCTAGCTTCGAGACCTACCAGTCCCCCAAAACCTATTCTAAGTCAATCTACCCCGATGAGTATATCGATCTCACGCAGTACAACGAGTACAACCAATTGTTCAATGTGTACGACAATAGCAAAGCTAGTAGCGAAAGTAGCTCAATGTTCAATGATCTCGATTTTAGGATCTCGACAAACCCTAGCTGCGCCCCTAGTATTACTAATTTGCATAGCTATAGTCATGACTCTTTCGATGTGATTCCCCACCAATAATGTGTTTGTTAAAGTTTGAATATGAGTGCCTTGTTCCCACTATAATGCTTTCCATGATCTTCAATACGAAAGTCAACTTGAATTGTTTCGATTTTTGTATATACTGTATATAAAATATATAGGTACATAGTTGTGATATTGAAGCAGAGTTTTATTTCGAATTGATCCTGATAAACCCATTAATGAAGATGATCAAAGCTGATGACTTCAAGCACATTATCTAGTTGATATGTGCGAGTTCAATAATAAACCAGACACAGTACCACTACAAAGTTTTCGACTCAATGAAAGCAAAAGTCCCAGTTTTCTATATCCTTGAAACCTCCAATCTGAGATCCTAGTTAGTTTTCCATTGCCACTATATGAATCTTCTGGATCTCACGTCACGATCTCTATTAATTCCGTGGAACCATCCACAAAGAGTTCAAGACGAAAAACTATTGGAGCCCCAGCATCAGCAACATGCTGAACGACGACAGCAACGCCAGCAGCAACAGCAACAGCAGGTTCAATTTGAGCCAGAGTCCGGATAACAGCAGCCAGGTCTTGCTCAACAATAACCTGCCGCAGGTCGATCACACCCTGTATTTGGACCCCAAAGTGGCTGAAAGCCATTTTGCGATGCAGAAGAGCCACTACTATCCCCAAAGCTCTAGCTATGAATTGCCGGAGAGCAAAGCTGCTTACGCAGTGGAAGAGAAGTGCTTTGCTAGCTTCGAGACTTACCAGACTCCCAAAACCTATTCTAAGTCAATCTACCCCGATGAGTATATCGATCTCACGCAGTACAACGAGTACAACCAATTGTTCAATGTGTACGACAATAGCAAAGCTAGTAGCGAGAGTAGTTCAATGTTCAATGATCTCGATTTTAGGATCTCGACAAACCCTAGCTGCGCCCCTAGTATTACTAATTTGCATAGCTATAGTCATGACTCTTTCGATGTGATTCCCCAACAATAATGTGTTTGTTAAAGTTTGAATATGAGTGCCTTGTTCCCACTATAATGCTTTCCATGATCTTCAATACGAAAGTCAACTTGAATTGTTTCGATTTTTGTATATACTGTATATAAAATATATAGGTACATAGTTGTGATATTGAAGCAGAGTTTTATTTCGAATCGATCCTGATAAACCCATTAATGAAGATGATCGAAGCTGATGTCTTCAAGCATATTATCTAGTGATATGTGCGAGTTCAATAATAAACCAGACACTGTACCACTACAAAGTTTTCGACTCAATGAAAGCAAAAGTCCCAGTTTTCTATATCCTTGAAACCTCCAATCTGAGATCCGAGTCAGTTTTTCATTGCCACAATGAATCTTCTGTATCTCACGTCACGATATCTCTATTAGTTCCGTGGAACTATCTAAGAAGATTTCAAGACAGAGGAGTACTGGATTTCCAGCATCAGCAACATGTTGAACGACGATATATACCAACGCTAGCAGCAACAGCAGGTTCAATTTGAGCCAGAGTCCTCATAACAGCCAGGTCTTGCTCAACAATAACCTGCCGCAGGTCGATCACACCCTGTATATTTGGACCCCAAAGTGGCTGAAAGTCACTTTGCGATGCAGAAGAGCCACTACTATCCCCAAAGCTCTAGCTATGAATTGCCGGAGAGCAAAGCTGCTTACGCAGTGGAAGAGAAGTGCTTTGCTAGCTTCGAGACTTACCAGACTCCCAAAACCTATTCTAAGTCAATCTACCCCGATGAGTATATCGATCTCACGCAGAGTACAACCAATTGTTCAATGTGTACGACAATAGCAAAGCTAGTAGCGAGAGTAGTTCAATGTTCAATGATCTCGATTTTAGGATCTCGACTAACCCTAGCTGCGCCCCTAGTATTACTAATTTGCATAGCTATAGTCATGACTCTTTCGATGTGATTCCCCACCAATAATGTGTTTGTTAAAGTTTGAATATGAGTGTCTTGTTCCCACTATTATAATGCTTTCCATGATCTTCAATACGAAAGTCAACTTGAATTGTTTCGATTTTTGTATATACTGTATATAAAATATATAGGTACATAGTTGTGATATTGAAACAGAGTTTTATTTCGAATTGATCCTGACAAACCCATAAATGAAGTTGAATGAGTGGCCAAGAGTTGGAAATTATTTTCAAGTTCCCTGGACGGCCGCTAGGTGGCTTAATTGCATTCGCCACTTTGAAAGAAATCTCATAAACGATTTTTCCATAATCTCGGGTTGATTTTCAATCATCTCGATCTACAAAAGTTGCGCCGCCACTTCAAATAAAAGAGGGAGGGGAGGGATGAATAGAGCTATGAAAAAACTCTTATTACTACAGTTCTGTGTAACAGCATTCAACGAACTTATGGACTAATTATGAAGGGTTTTTTCTGTTCTTCTCTTCAGTTTCATTTCCAATTGATTATAACGAATCTACTATAGGTCTGTTAGTTCGTGTTGCTGAATTGCTAAAGTAGATTTCGTTTCCATAGTTGTCTCTGTTCATGACATAATGTAAACAGAGATAGTCATAGAAAAAAATCAAGCTCAGCAGATGACGGTTGATATTAAGTAGTACCTAATTGGATTTGAATAATGAGCCAATTACTTTACCTATTTATGTATAGGTAAACATTGAAATCAAAAGTATATCCACAAGCTTTCCATATCCTGGAAGCCTTTACTCCGAATTCCTATCTAGTTTTCCAACATATCACTCCCAACGAACAAATTAGATAATTAAATGATATGATTGAAAAACCAAACAAATCCACTATTCTGAACGCCCTGTATCCCATGAACCAAGCCGTTGCAGAGCCACGTTCACATGAACTTCTTATCTCTTCAGTCAACGATTCACCCTGTATGGTCTTCCAAGTGGTCAATGTATGTTAATTCATAACTGGACCGCTTCTACTACACTGTATGCTTTATGGCGAATAACTTTAAGATCATCAGCTCTTGTAGGTCTAATTATTTAAAGGCCAATTAAAAGTATTTTTTAAATTTTCAATCATCTCAGCAGTCGTTTATGCGCTCGGCGGTGCAATAAACAAATTGAAGTGTGTGCAAATTTCCGATGGGAAATTCTTTATTAATGGTAATTGAACATGAAAGTGCTATTAATAGGGCCATGTGTGTACACTATCTAAGTATTTCTCTCTGCGCAGGTGCTTGTCAAGTCAATCATTTATTTACTAGCTTGTTAGAGACTGTGATGCTGAACTATTAAAATGTGATATGTGCAGGTGCAAGTATTAGTACCTCAGAAAGTACCTTCATACACTCTATACAGGGTGTTTCAAAAAAACCTAACCTAACGCCATCCGTTTTCAAGAAACAAGGTGTTGAAACAATATTTTTTTCACACATTTTTCACGATTATGTTGAAACTATACTGGCAATATTGCGATGAAATTTTGTATGGATGTTTCTTGGAATCTGATACATCGCATGCATTTGTTTTTATATCTGACTCTCATAGAGGGCGGTAGTTACACGGTTATTCGTACCGAGTAGTTTTGAACATAAGTTTTTTGAGGTTAGATTTTTCAATCCAAATTTGATGTGAATTTGAACATCATTCAATTTCACACCACTCTTGGTAAGACTCGATACTGTGTTCCGTTTTCGGAATATTTCGATTTGAAAATGATGAAGTGGTAACATAGTTGCTGGTATCGTTAATCTATGGCCGAGGTATATGGTAAAGGTAAAACTTTTTTTTTCGCAAACGAAGCGTTTTTGGACCCATGTTCATATGAACTTTTTTTTATATTCTGTTGGGAGGAATCTTCCCTAGGCTTTTGTCACCACAACTCTGAAACACCCTGTATATATATATATTCAGCAACCTTGGATATTCAGTTATACTATTAACATCTATTGGATGTTTCTTGAACTGGGATGAGAGGGTCATCATTTTGTTGTCGTTGGTGTAGTGTCCTGTAGTGTAAAAATGCATGTCGTGTTCTTTAAAAGATAGAGGGAGCTCATCAATAACCTCCTGTTCAAGGTTGGTAGAACTGATGGTTATTTTACAAATTATCAAGTCAGTCAAGTTTCAACACTGTCAATGATTCTTGAATGTTTAAGATTTAAGGTTATGTTATTTGTTATGATGTGTTATGGCATGTTGTTATTTTGATTTTGATATTTTCAAAATTTGTTAGGTCTTTGATCATTATTTGTTGAAATTTTGTGATATCTGTTCATCTAGTGACTGATTCAGTTTCTTCGCTACCATCGACCATCAATAATGTATGAAACATCAGAACCAGAACGTGAAATACCCATCACTATCAACAAATATCACCATCTCACCCAGCAAAATGACAAAAAACACAAATCAGAAAGCAAAAGAGAAATGAGAAGCTACAGTATCGAGAAATTCTTTAAAGCAATGAAAAAAACGAATAATTGCCCTGTAAAAGGTCATTTGGATAGCTCTTCTGAAGATGACTGTAATTCAGACCTATCAAAGATGCCTAGCAATGAGCAGAATGTATGGAATTTGTTGAATGACCTAAAAAAATCTAGAATACCTCAGTACACAAGTGATAATAGTAAGAGTAATAGTAAATGTAGGAGACCTGATAACAAAATTACCAATTACTTCAAGGATGTTAAATTTCCACCTGGTGTATCAACTAGTTCTTCAGACATTACTAAGAATAAAGAAAATTCTCCAAGATTGAAAGATACTAAATGTTTGAAGACTGAAATAGCAAATAATTCAATAAAATCTCCTAAGTTGACTAGAGACAATTTTTTGGAATCAAGAAAAAGAAAACTGAAAAGAACTCACATGAGTGAGGAACCAAGTGAGAAAATTTGTGCAAGACAATATAGCAGAAACAGCAGTAGTATGCCTATTACTTTGGAAGAACAGGAAAATGTAGATAAAAAATTGTTGAATGGAAAAACTACCTTTGAAGAATTCACAAAAAAAGTTCTAGAGAAGCTCAGGAACAAATCATTAGCAAGTGAGACTACCAAAAATACAAATGAGAAATCAAGTATTAGACAAAAAACAGTATCAGAAGTGTTGAAAGAAATCCAGTATAATCCTGATTGTACAAAATCCAAATCACCTGAAAAAACACCAATCAAAGAGGAATCAGAGATTCAAAACCCTATTACAAAATTCATAAAATCTTTGAAGGAGAAAAACACAAGTCATTCTACAGAAATTATTGATTCATCAAGTTTTTTTCATGAACCTCTGTTAAATCACAGCAGATTGACATCTTCAAGTAACAAAGAACACAATATTATTACAAAATCATCTAAAGATAAAACTCCAGATAAAATCAAAACATTTATTGCCAAAAATAGTAGAGGATTTCATAGTTTGAAGCCAAATTCAGCACAAACATTGGTAAATGCAAAAGTGATAGATACTACTGAAAATAATATTGGTGATTTAAATATTTCTATTTGTAAAAATAAACCAACAAATAGTGAGGACAGTGATGAAAGTATAGATTTTTCTGTTTATCTGGAGAAAACTATAATCAACATGGCTGATAAATGCTCTGTTCAGAAAGATGTCTCTCTCAAAAAATCAAAAGATATAAACATGGATTTTTCTGATCAACTCATCAGAAGAAATGTTGAGAATAGTGCTGGTGAAAAATTCAGTGAAAAAATCAACACAGCCAGGTTTTCAACTGAAATAACTAATGTGATGCAAAGTTTTAGGGAAACACAGGAAGACAAATCTTCAGAAAATATAAAGAATCATTCTGAGGTTCCAATTTCTACAAAGACTTATTCACCAGTACTTGATATGAACAAAATTGAAAATATCCCAAATTCTTCATCCTTGCTTGATGAACAGAAAGCATATAATAGTTTTTGGCTAAAAAAAGTACAAAATGAAGCCAAATCAATAGAAATAATTGATACTGATGCACATGAAAATTTGGCTATGGAAAATGCTTCTAGTGTTGAAAGTAATGAAAAATCTCATGATTTCATACAAGGTACTATGGAATTGACTGAAAGATTTTGTCTTCATGATTCTTATCAAATGGAGCAAAATTCTACTAAAGAATTAACAAAATATCTACAAATTCCAATAACAACACCAGAGCAGCCAGAGGAAATCATCCCTGTAAATATTGCTGAAATCCCTGGGGAAAATAATGAAGAAGCTATTACACATTTTCCTGAAAAACCTCATGTCAAATACAACTTGTTGGAAGATGAAGAAATCAGAAATATACTCACAGAAAACTATGAGAAATATCACAGACTAAATAAAAGACTAGAAGCTAAAAGTGAGTCACAGATAGACAGCTTATGTGAAAAACTAAACACTTCCAGGCAAAGAGAAAGAAAACACAGTGGAAAATGTAGTTTAAGACGATTCAGAAAAGGAAAGATGAAGATCTATAGGTAAGCAGACATAATTTTTCACCTACAATTTATTATTCATTGATTTTCTTCAATGAAAATTATCAATTTGTTACCAAGAATAAAAAACTTGAAAATTGAAGGTCTCCATTTTGTTGTTTAGGTTAGCCAAATTGAAGAAACCTGTACCACATTCAGAAGAATCAGAAATCTTGAACATTGACGAATTACTAACAAAAATGTCACAAGGTTTTGCAAAACCAAAGCCAAATCTTGCCACATACAAAAGTACAAGTTCCGTTTCAACTACTTCCTCTTACATCACAGACGAAACTTTATCAGACACTCTATCTACGGGCTCTAGAGAACTATCTTCTCCCCAACAAAAATTACGAAAAGGTCTCAATGAGATTTCTAAAGACAAGTCCCTGTTTTGTGACGAACAACATCGAGATTTCACTAAGTGTGACAAAGATGAGATCAAGATGAAGATCCAGGACATTTTCCTACAAGTTTTCGACGATTTGACAAATGGCAGAAGATCCTATTTGAAATACAGAAGGCAAAGCATCGAAAATTGTACTGTAAAAGACGGACGGTGAGTTTTTGTAAGCCACGCCCAATGGTTGCTTGGGGTGTGTTTCGGGGCGTGGCTAGAATCAGTAGAGGGGGTAAGCCCAATGCGAGTCTCACCTACTTATTTCTATATTTTTTTACTTTGAATGCTGCAAACACAAAAAAAAACGAAATATTTGATTTTAGATTGCAGTTCAAATCAGATGATGTCAGTTTTTCTGTTATCAACTCTGGGATACAAAGAAGCCAGGGTAGATTCAAGCTGATTTTGTATATTTTGAAGAAAATTCAAACCTTGTTGGAGACAAATACTAAGTTAACAAAGAGGTATTTCATGTTCCAAGCAAACTTTTCTACAAATGAAATACAGTTTCTGTTCGACAGGGAATTGTTTTATCAATTGAAACATCTCATCAAAGACCAAAGGGTGACCGATAAAGCGATCAATTCTATAAGTTGTCTTCTAGATGTTGGCATGTGGGCCCTCAACATAGTAGCACAAAAAGGACTAGTATTCGGGAACCTTAAGATACTTTTGGCTTCCGGAGAGACCATCAACTGTAATGTCCCAGGTAAAAAATACCAAATCTTTGATCAAATGATGAATTTAGAGAATAGCTATACTGCCTTCTATTTGTAATTTATTCTTCCACTGAGCAAACAATAAAATACGTCTCGCCTCCTAAGTAGGTTTACTTTTAGAGCGATATGGTGTACTTGGCTATACTTATCTCGCATTCATTAATTATGGAGTCTAACACTGACAGTTGCACTAGATGAAAGCATCATAACCTCCTACCCCGAAAACCCCCAGAGGCCAATTTTTGATAGAATCGAATCATGTAATTACAGAACTCGTCCACCATATTGGATCCGCCATCATTTACCCGTGTTTTGCGTTCAGGATTGTTGGTGTAGACTTCATAATGATTTATGAATGAATAATGGCGCGGTGTCTAGTCTATTGTTACTTAGTCCATTGTCGATCTAAATGAAAACCTAGTAGACGACCTAGTACGCGAGGAGGTAATTGCCTACTAACTACCTAACTAGGTTGTCATCTAGAACGACAATGTTCAGTCTAAGAGAGGATAGTATGATGATAATGTTACTTAGGAACCCTGATACCTCAAGACATCGGGGACATAATAGAAATCCACTCCACCGCCTTCTTCATCCTGGTGATAGAGAAGGAGTCCATCTTTCACAAGCTGATCGAAGAGGACCTGCCCAATCGGCTGACCAGGCCCTTCGTGATGATCACCGGCAAAGGGTTTCCCGATCTGAACACGCAGCTGTTCCTGAAGAAGCTGTGGACGGTGCTATCGGTGCCTGTTTTCCTGTTGGTGGATGCCGATCCACACGGGATTAATATCATGTTGAATTACCGGTTCGGATCTGTGGTGAGGAATTATTCCAATATTTTGTTTCATTTCTCCATGATTTCTAGAAATTTCCACTCTTCTATTCCTCCTTTTTTCATTTTTCTATTTTTGCCACTTGTGAAAGCTCCAGCTGCTTGGAATTCACTGTTACTCCAGGTAGTATCAAGTGCTGATCTGTATCTTTTGTGAAGAACTTGGCAGTCTTGAAGGTTTGATTTGAATAGATCGGCTCGAAGGACCATGATGTTCGATGCTTGATAGATTGATTTGTATGGATATGATCAAATGAAATGGAGATAATTGGCTGCCAATGTTGCCTGCTCTCAAATTTTGGCTGGAATCTTTTCTTGTTGACAATGTGACAAAGGGTAGTCTTGAGTGCTGCTCTGTATCCTTTGTGAAGCATAATTGGCAGTCTTGAAGGTTTGATTTGCATATATCCGGCTCGAAGGACCAATTAATCATTCCAGAAAACATTTCATTTCGTCATATGAAACCAGAATTAGTGGGATCGATGTCAAAACTTGTTTCGAAACTAAGTTTGTCAGGTGGAGTAATGCCGGAGCATTTATGATTCGAATATGGAATGACTGGAAAATCTCTAATGCTTTTGTTAGTAGTGTTATGAAGTTTTCGATGTTTTGTTATCATTGGTTGAAGGAAAATTTCATCTAGACTCTTTGAAGTAGATAATATGCCCATTACTAATGTAGCATTTTCCCTCTGGAATTGTTTTTGTTTACAATGTTGCCGGATTTCACATCCTGTCAGGAATGTTTTTCTGTTCTCAATGTGGCTAGATCTCACATTTTGTCTGGAATCATTTTTTGTTGCCAATGTTGCCAGATCTCATATTTTGTCTGGAATCCCTTTTGTTGCCAATGTTGCCGGATCTCACATTTCGTCTGGAATCTTCATACAAACTATGAGAAAAATGTGTTGTCGTAACTTTTTCGCTAACAAAAATGTATTTTCCCAGAGCAACGCCCACGTGTCTCACCATCTGGCAGTGCCCCACGCCAAGTGGCTGGGCGTCTTCCCCTCCGAGATAGCCGCTGTCAACGTCAAACGTCAACCGCTGACGGTCAACGAAGCGAAGTTGGCTGCCCAGCTGCTGAGGACGCCGCACGTGGCCCATAACCCGCGCATCGCCGACGAGATCAGCGTTCTGATCCGGGACGGGAGCAAGGCTGGCATCGAGGGACTGATCAAGAGCGAGGTGTATCTGAGCGAGGTTTATTTGCCGACCAAGTTTTTCGCGAAGGATTTCATTTGAGGTCGGCTGGTGATGGGATAAGGGTTTTTGAAATGCGGTGTATATTTTGATTTGTTATCGTATTTATCTTATACATACATGGCGTTTCGAAATCAGTTTAATAAATACTTATTGTTTGTGAGTCGGGATTTACATTTTTGAGGGTTTTTCTCCGCCCTATGAAGAAATATCAGTATTTTATCAATATACAAGGTGTTTTCTCTATTCTTACTATGGTACGAAACTTCAGAAGGTGATTGATCAGGTCGTTTTCAGGTGTATTTGCCCACCAAGTTTTTCGCGAAGGATTTCATTGAGGTCGGCTGGTGATGGGATAAGGGTTTTTGATACGCGGTGTTTCATTTTGATTTGTTATCGTATTTACCTTATACATATAATGGCGTTTCGAAATGAGTTTAATAAATATTTATTGTTTGTGAGTCGATCGATTTACATTTTTGAGGTCTATGAAGAAATATTAGTATTTTATCAATATACAGGGTGTTTTCTTACTACGCTGAATCGAATGAGACCATGATCAAACCGATGGGACAGATAGTTTTGGAGATATCGACGCTCAAAGTCAGCTTTCCGCTTTTATTGCCAATAGGAGTACTCCGGTAGGCTTACTACGTCTTCATTTTCCAAAATTTCCCCGATTTCCACCACAGATTCGTTCATTACGACATCGAATTAGTCTATGTGAATTTTTTCAGATTCTTAATAGGCAAAATAAAAATTTTCATTTTCCCATCTGAGACTTCAGTACGATATAGTACGATATAGTCACCGAACCATCTTCGAACGGCCGAAAGTGGCAGGAAACGGCGGAAATCCACGCGAATTATCACTTTTCCAGTAGAAAATGACACGCTGAATCGAATGAGAACATGATCAGCCCGATAGGACAGATAGTTTTCGAGATATCGACGCTCAAAGTCAGCTTTCCGCTTTTATTGCCAATAGGAGCAATCCGGTAGGCTACTACGTCTTCATTTTCCAAAATTTCCCGATTTCCACCACAGATTCGTTCATTACGACATCGAATTAGTCTATGTGAATTTTTTCAGATTTTTTATAGGCAAAATAAAAATTTTCATTTTCCCATCTGAGACTTCAGTACGATATAGTACGATATAGTCACCGAACCATCTTCGAACGGCCGAAAGTGGCAGGAAACGGCGGAAATCCACGCGAATTATCACTTTTCCAGTAGAAAATGACACGCTGAATCGAATGAGACCATGATCAGCCCGATAGGACAGATAGTTTTCGAGATATCGAGGCTCAAAGTCAGCTTTCCGCTTTTATTGCCAATAGGAGCACTCCGGTAGGCTACTACGTCTCCATTTTCCAAAATTTCTTGATTTCCACCACAGATTCGTTCATTACGACATCGAATTAGTCTATGTGAATTTTTTCAGATTTTTAATAGGCAAAATGAAAATTTTCATTTTCCCATCTGAGACTTCAGTACGATATAGTTACCGAGCCATCTTCGGACGGCCGAAAGTGCCAGAAAACGGCGGAAATCCACGCGAATTATTGCTTTTCTATTAGAAAATGACACGCTGAATCGAATGAGACCATGATCAGCCCGATAGGACAGATAGTTTTCGAGATATCGGCGCTCAAAGTCAGCTCTTCACTTTTATTGCCAATAGGAGCACTCCGGTAGGCTACTACGTCTCCATTTTCCAAAATTTCTTGATTTCCACCACAGATTCGTTCATTACGACATCGAATTAGTCTATGTGAATTTTTTCAGATTTTTAATAGGCAAAATAAAATTTTTCATTTTCCCACCTGAGACTTCAGTACGATATAGTTACCGAGCCATCTTCGGACGGCCGAAAGTGCTAGAAAACGGCGAAAATCCACGCGAATTGTCGCTTTTCCAGTAAAAAATGACACGCTGAATCGAATGAGAACATGATCAGCCCTATAGGACAAATAGTTTTGGAGATATCGACGCCCAAAGTCAGCTCTTCGATTTTATTGCCAATAGGAGTACTCCGGTAGGCTACTACGTCTCCATTTTTCAAAATTTCTCGATTTCCACCACAGATTCGTTCATTACAACATCGAATTGGTCTATGTGAATTTTTTCAGATTTTTATTAGGCAAAATAACAATTTTCATTTTCCCATCTGAGACTTCAGTACGATTTAGTCACCGAGCCATCTTCGGACGGCCGAAAGCGCCAGAAAACATCGATAATTCACGCGAATTATCGCTTTTCCAGTAGAAAATGACACGCTGAATCGAATGAGACCATGATCAGCCCGATAAGACAGATAGTTTTCGAGATATCGACGTTCAAAGTCAGCTTTCCGCTTTTATTGCCTATAGGAGCATTCCGGTAGGCTACTACGTCTTCATTTTCCAGAATTTCCCGATTTCCACCACAGATTCGTTCATAACGACATCGAATTAGTCTATGTGGATTTTTTCAGATTTTTAATTGGCCAAATAAAAATTTTCATTTTCCCATCTGAGACTTCAGTACGAAATAGTTACCGAGCCATCTTCGCACGGCTGAAAGTGCCAGAAAACAGCGAAAATTCACGCAAATCATCGCTTTTTCAGTAGAAAATGACACGCTGAATAGAATGAGACCATGATCAGCCCGATAGAACAGATAGTTTTCGAGATATCGACGCTATCAGAGTCGGCTTTCCGCTTTTATTGCCTATAGGAGCATTCCGGTAGGCTACTACGTCTTCATTTTCCAAAATTTCCCGATTTCCACCACAGATTCGTTTATTACGACATCGAATTAGTCTATATGAATTTTTTCAGATTTTTAATAGGCAAAATAAAAATTTTCATTTTCCCACCTGAGACTTCAGTACGATATAGTACGATATAGTCACCGAACCATCTTCGAACGGCCGAAAGTGGCAGGAAACGGCGGAAATCCACGCGAATTATCACTTTTCCAGTAGAAAATGACACGCTGAATCGAATGAGAACATGATCAGCCCGATAGGACAGATAGTTTTCGAGATATCGGCGCTCAAAGTCAACTCTTCACTTTTATTGCCAATAGGAGCACTCCGGTAGGCTACTACGTCTCCATTTTTCAAAATTTCTTGATTTCCACCACAGATTCGTTCATTACGACATCGAATTAGTCTATGTGAATTTTTTCAGATTTTTAACAGGCAAAATAATCTGAGACTTCAGTAGGATATAGTCACCGAGCCATCTTCGGACGGCCGAAAGTGCTAGAAAACGGCGGAAATCCACGCGAATTATCGCTTTTCCAGTAGAAAATGACACGCTGAATCGAATGAGACCATGATCAGCCCGATAGAACAGATAGTTTTCGAGATATCGACGCTCAAAGTCAGCTCTCTGCTTTTATTTCCTGAAAATTTCCATAATGAATATTTTCAGAAGCCCTGTACATGGCGTTAGGGTGTTCCAAAGTAAGTGTTCTTATAGTATATGTAAAAATTTTTTTGAAAACAAACTAACCAGAAGGGTTCATTTGAGTGGCTCTAAAACTAAGATTTCAAATGAATGTAGCTCTCAAGCTGTTTTATCATATTATTTGAAATTTTTTTATAGGTACCAGCCCAAATAACAAAAAAGATCATGTATGAGAATAACATCATTCACCAAAATGTTCTCAAAAAGTATACCCAACTCTTTATTGACATTTGTTAAGTGACTTTTTTATATAATGTACAGTACCAAATCAAAAAATAGAAATATTCATTTGCCTTCATTTAATTTTTTGACAAAGGTCTTATAATGTCAAAAGGAAGCAGGAAACCTTTCCACCTGTTTTCAAAAACTTGTAAATTTTAAAACTGCAGTGTTTCTACAAACCAGATTGTTTGAATATGCAGTTTTTTAAATTTCATATGAACCCCTAATTTTTGGCCTGTGCAATAACTACACAAATATGTAAATAGAAATCAGACATTTTCATAAAAAACCTATATTCATTTGAACAAAAAATTTTACACATCAAATGTGAAAACACCACATTTCACTGGAATCCACAAATGTCTGGGACATCATACACCTTCACTAGTTCTTCTACAGACATCCCAGTGTCAAGGGAAGAATTGTACTCAGAACAAGCACCAGCTACATCCATAGAATGCACTTGTCTATCATTCTCAATGATCCAGTTGATCATCTCATAGTCACTCATTGTCAGTTCTGCTTTTTCCAGAATATTGGTGTTGGTTATGGTGGAAGAGTCATTGAGGAATTTGTCTGGGAGGCCTAAAACTGACAGTTTGTTTTCATGTGGCTTGCTGATGATCAAGTCAGTGAAGCTGCTGGGTTTTGCTGGTAATTCGATTTTTTTGGTGACTGGTAGAGTGATGAGTGAGGTAGTTTTGAGGAATTTGCACAGACGTCCTTTTCTCATGAAATTTCGTTCAGGGAAATAAAGCGTTTTCAGTCGTATTGGGTCCACATTTTCTTTGACTGTCAAGTCACCAGTACTTTTGGTCAAATCAATGAAAGGGATGCTGTGGAGATTTTTCTTTTCTGGGTAATAGTGTCCCACATAAATAATAGATTCTGTTGAGGGTGATTTATAAACTTTGCCATTGGTGTTGTAGATTTCCCCATAGCTGGATTCATTTTCTGCACTGGCTTCTAACAGATCCTGGTTTTGTTTGAGCACCTTCTTCACTTTAGCTCTAGTTTTTCTAGGTTCCTTGTATTTTTTTGACACTCGTTGTTTTCTTTGCTTTCTACCTGTAGGGTGGCTATTTTTCGATGCCTAAAACACACAAACTTAGGGGTTTATATAGATGTATGAAGACCTGAGATTACTGGCTTACAGCAAAGTTATTCATTATTTGTTTTTCGGTTGGTTTTCTAATGTAGACATGAAAGCTTCAAAAAGTCACAAAATTTTGGATATTGACATTTGGTTGTTGATATTTCTTTTGCAGTCGCCTAGGTTCTGGTTTGATTGTCCTTGAGGAACGAATACGAGAAATTGAATTTTTTCACTGTGGTACATTTGAACTACTTTGCGTTTGAACTTCAAGCATCAAGCCAGTTTAGTTCAGAAGTCAAAATCTATTACATCACATACCTACCAAATAATTTGATGATCTAAGGTCAGAAATGTCAGATTATTCTTATTAGGAAAAGTTAGCAACTCTAGTTTCCACTTTTCTAAACAAGCAGTCGTAATACCTGTCTTGCAGCCATTGCAGGAGAAATCGAAAGGTTTTATGTCATTGACCATTGTACAATCTTTATGCAATCCAAATAAGATTACAAGGTTGGTAGAACTGAAAGATTAGTTTCGTTGCGCCATCTTCCGAGATATCTCCCAACAATCTTTTACAAATAAAGAAACCTATCAAAATGAGCACGACCTCATTCTTCATTAGACCAATAGATGTCACATCATGCCACTTAGCAGATTTTGGCTATTTTTGGGGTAAATAAAATTCGCATGCAAGTATTTTCAAGTAACGATTTATTGTAAACAATTCTTGCATCGTAAAATGTCTCAATAATACAAAACAAAACAAATGCCCATTGCATCATCTAACAATGCTGATTCTCAAAGTAAATTCCATTTAATGAGAAATTCTTCATTTTATTCATTGGTGTTCTGCACGATTATCATTTATCCTTAAACATTTACCTGTACAAAAATGATTCGGAAGTACTTAGGTATATTGTTTGGAAGAGGAAGAATTAGTTATATAAAACATTGATAGATTTTTCCATGAAGGGTATGAAAGAATAAAATTATATTCTGTTTCAGTTTGCATTCTCGAATGCTCTGTCAATATTATTTAGTACAAATCAAAACTTCATTTAGTTGAATTAAAAATATAATTCAATTCAGTGGAAGATGAATTCGATAATAAAAAATGTTTATAAGAATTTATAGCTTTGGAAGAATGAAGCTGTTGAAATTTCATACAAAAACTATCGAAAATCAATAAATGAAGAAATCAGTTGAAGCTATACACTGTGAAAAATCAGGAAATAGATTCATGATTTCGTTTGTTGTATTGGATGAAAATGTATTTTGTATGTAAATTTTTCGGATTGTTTGTGTATGAACTTTCAATCAATATTAAGATCGTCGTTTTGCCGTGAATAAAGCACAGCTCTAGTTTTTTACTCAAGCGAAAATTTTTACACTATTTATATAGTACTTGCTCAATTATATTGATTGAAACGCTCGAAATTGTCCTCGTTAATCACTTTTCACAACCATATTTTCATGGATTTTCAGAAGAGTAGAAGCTCAAGTTCGATTTTATTATGTAAACATTTGATTTTAGTCATTTAGTTTAGGTACTACGCATTATGTGAACATTTCAAAAATTTTAATAATTGACATTTTCTGCACTATTTCTGAATAAGTAGGTGTATGGAAGATTGAAAAAAAAAATAAGATCTAGCAAAATCATATAAAATATTATAATTATTTCAACAATTAATTCTCAAACTATTGGTGCATCATGATTTCGCAAAAAACAAATATGTTCTAAAGGCACTATTGTTCAATTACAACAAACAATCAACATCATACCGGCGCAATCAACACAATTTTTGGAAAGTAAAATTGTCATGAAATTTCGAGAAAATAAAATTCTTGTTTGATCCGAAGTTTGTTCTTGAGTTTTATCAAGTTCTACATTCTTGATTTGTTTGTAAGATTGTCGTTCCATGGAAAAATTGTTGTTGGAACAGAATTGAAAAAACCTCATTGGTATATTGGCATTTCCGCAACAAATTTTACCCTGTATTTTCACCATAAGGCTTTGTCAAAACTTCAATGTTTCCCAAAACACGAATATGATGCATCAATATCACAAAAAATAGGAAAGCGAAAGCGATAACTACGAGAAAATAAAACAAAACATGAGACTTTTGACGAGTACTGAGTGTTGAGTCACTATACTGGTTTATATACAACGAAATCATTGATGGCCAGGATGTCATTCAGTTGTTTTTTTATGTTAGACCTTTGACATTTGAATCGGAGATATAATTCCTTGAAAACACATATTTTTCATGAAAAAACTATTCCGGTTCCACCGAAAATAGACCTAGGTCATCAAGTAAAATAAACATCACTTTGATTAGTTATTGGTGAAATGCAAAAGTTTTGATTAATCGCCAATCAGGATTTCTTTTATTAATTCCTCAAAATAACATTTATTTACTGGAATTTTCTCGAAAATTTTAGATGAAATTAACACTGTTTATCTGCAGATGGATGCTTGTTGTTATCTTCAATTCAAAAAAATCATTGAAGGTTGTTTCATTCTTCAGTACACCTAAATAAATAACACTCTTATCAACCAGTGGCGGCTCCTCAGAGGAGGCAACGGAGGCTGAGCCTCCTCAGAGATTTTCCTTGAACTGATATTATCTTTACTTCCTCATTAAAAGGACACCAAAATACATGGATTTTGATTTTATTTCCTGTTTTTAGGTAAATATTTTCGAATTGGCAACAGTGCTTGCCCACGCATCACACGTTGAAGTCTGCAAATCACGCGTAAAATATTCAACTTGGCAACATCCATAGGAGGCTAGACTCCTTCACAATGCGCAACCCACTCGCGCAATGCAAATGCCCGAATACGCCCGAATAGCACGTGTTTGTCGTGTCGCGTCGCGAATTGCGGGCATTGTTTATGTTTATGTTAGGTTAATGGTTAGGGGCTCTATAAATTTCTGAAAAATGAGTGTTTTAAACGATTGCGATTTAGTGGAATACTTTTTGGTGAACCCATTCAGTGTTTTGTATTATGAAGATAAATTGATTGTGAAAAACAAACGTCCGACACCGGAATTAAAAATTCTGATTTCAACAGGTAACAAACGAAATCGTTCGTTCAATTCTGATAATTATAAAAAAATATATCTGGCTGACGGGATCTGAGGTAAGGAATAAGCTATTTTTTTCGTACTGCGTATTATTTTCAACCGATAAGTCATCATGTTGAGGGCGATTAGGATATAATGATTTGGAAAATTTGGCTCGCGGATTGGATAGACACTGCAAATCACAGGAACACATCTCTTCAAGTATTAAGTTCAGGTTAACTGGTAAACAGAATGTCATCAAAGCTATTGATTTGGGTGAGTAGAGAGTTGTTTTTTACAATAAATCTCATATCATTCAGCCTCCTCTGTCATGAAAGTCACGAGCCGCCACTGTTATCAACATAAAATTGTAGCACAGGCTAGTGAAAATGTCCCTCTTTCAGAAGTAAATTTTAATGAAGAACTCATTATCATAAAAGATATTGCAGTCAACAACGTATTTAACGTTAATTTGAATAATAATAATAATAATAATAATAATAAAGCGGCTTTATTCATCATTATAATTTCTACATACAAAATAGAGAACAGTGAAATAAGAAGAACAAATGATGAAAAGGCGAAGTGTCAGCTATATAGCTGTTTTTCAACTTAACCAGGGAAGGAAGAGTAAAAACTAATATCAAATATAAGGAAAAATCATTACAAATTACTATATAAAATTTAGAATAATGTTATACTAAGAAATCATAACAACCTAGGTAGATCAGCGGAGTTGGTCAACGTACAAATATAAACTGTCTATCCTTCAGTAGATGTTTCAGTCTTTTTTTGAAATTGCTCAGTGTGTACAGCCTGAATTCATGTGGGAGCTGGTTGTAAAATTTTGCAGCATTGTATGAGAAACATCTCGTGAAAGTTGCAGTGGAGTGAGTTGGAATAGCAAGAACGTGTCTATTTCGTGTTCTGAGATTGTTTAGATTTGAGAATGTCCTGAGTTTTTCAAAAAGATATTCAGGTGTGTTCCTTGTTAGAACTTTGTGAGTTATCGATAAAAGGTGTAGAGTTCGAAGATCGTTCAGCCTCAGCCAGTCAGAATCATCGAATGCGGCACTAATGTGGTCGAATTTACGAATACCGAAGGAGAATCGAACGCAAGAGTTTTGTATTCTCTGAAGGCGATTCTGATCAGTTTTCAGGAGAGCAGGGCCATAAACGCTATCACAATAAGACAGCTTAGACATTATCAAAGATTCGCACAAGGAAAGCTTCAAATGCTTAGAAAGCACACGTCTGTTTGGAAAGAGTTGGCTAAGTACATTAAAGGACGCTTGACAGAGATGGCTAACATGTTTAGTGAACCTCAGCTCAGAGTCAATCCACAATCCTAGATTTTTGCTTTCCTTAGATATAGGCAGTATATCATTACCGATTCTAATTTCCATATTTTCACGAACAACTTCCACCTTTTTTCTTGAACCAAATAACATGATCAAAGATTTTTTTGAATTCAGACGTAGATTGTGGGCGGTAGAGAAGTCGCGTAATTTATTCAAATCTATGTTTAAATTATTTAGTGCTTCTTGATGATCTACAAATTTGAAAGATGTATAAAGTTGAGTATCATCAGCGTAGTGATGTATTCTGGAGTGTTTTATAATTTTGAAAAAATCTGAGATATAAAGGGAGAAAAGGAGTGGCCCCAGAATAGAAAGTATTCTTTCTTAAAAACTCCGTAGAAAGCAATTCAAGTAGTTTATTCTATCTTCGAGAAACAATAATCAAAATCGTAGAACTTTAAACTATTTCGGATCATCAACTGAAATATCAGCTTCATTTCTACATAACTAGGAGAAAAGGTTGTTTATATCATCGTCAATCTATGTTTATATAGAACAAATGACTGTTGACATAACCATGCACTGTCATCCAGGTAATTCTGATCCTTCAGGTTGAGAAAGTAGCATATGAAACTATAAAAGTTAGGCAATAGAATTCGGTTTTTCAGGGTTTTTCAGGGAAAATGTGGGTTTTGGGGAACATTTAAAACGACTGAATAACGCCTTGGCTAATGATTTGGTTGACACCCGATAGAAAGAATAAAATGCGCTAAAATTCTCATATAAAGAAGATTATTGATTGTATTAAGCCATCCGGGAAGATCCGACCGCCTCGCCAACCGCACCTGAACCCTCTCGACCCCTCCGCTCACTTCTTCGCCTCGTCCTTCTCCTTTTTCTCCTCTCTCTCTTTCGCTTTCTCGTCGGTGTCGAGGTTAAGGCACTCTTCAAAAAAAGTTTGCATCGATCTGTACACGTGTTCTATCACACCTTCTAGTTCATGCCCTTCGTCGGCATAGCTCTGAAAAACAAAAATTTCTAGTGGTTAGTTGAATTTTTGTATTGAACTATAGCGTTTTCCACTCGTCGCACTAGCTTAAACTTTTTCGGCACTGAGTGTGTTTTGCGTGGTCTACTGACAATTTCAAGAGCGAAGTTTTGTTGAGAAATGATTTTCCACTGGCTCTCAAACTTGCTGGATCCCCGCTCAGAGTTCGAGTTTTCAGAACTGTGCTTGTGCGACAGTGCGATACACATAACCTCAAATATTCGAGTCACGAGTAGGAAAATGTTTGGAATTTGAATAATTATGAATGTCTCATTGAAGTTTATTACTATTATTATAATGATGTCCGAAATCATAGACACTTCGGATACAAGCGATGATGAAGAAATGATGATTGAGATACAGAAGTACTTCGTTACGAAACAGCGTTTACGGAAGATTCAAAATTACCTGAAAGTTTAAGAAAGCTATCCAGATATGCAGGTATTATCGATCTATTTGTCCATGTATGATTTTATATGCAAAACACATATCTCGGCTTTCCCTGGATTTCTTTAGAGATATCATAGCTATAACCTCTATCGGAATAAACACCATGTTTTATGAATTGTGCATCATTTTCTAGACTAGATATATGTTTCATATGAGACCGATTCCAAACGACACTGCAGTACCTTATTTGCTCCTGATCAGAGTGTGATATAAATGGTTTTCAAGGAGTCAAAAGTCCTAAATTCCTTGCAGTTGCGTATCAACAAACCCAAATTTTTCATTGAAGCTGATATCATATTCTGAAAGTGACTGGAAAACGTGAGTTTTTGATCAAACAGAACCCCTAGATCCTTTGATTCCGTGATCCGCGTTAAACTCTCACCATCTAGTATATAGTTGAATGTTACTGGTACCTACTGGTACGAGTGAATGTCATGATTTCACATTTATTTCTATTTAAGTACAATTTATTACGATTACCCCACTTAGTCAACGATTTTAAGTCCTCCTGCATTGTGAAACAGTCTGCTTCACTTTGTATTTCACGACATATCTTCATGTCATCTGCAAATAGAAGTTTATGAGTAGTGATTTCATCGGCTATGTCATTTATAAATAGTATAAATAATGATGGCCCAAGATTTGACCCTTGTGGGACACCTGAACTCGCTACAAAGCAGAAAGATTTTATGCCATCACATTCAACAGGAGCAACTGAATATCGGATGATATGCCGAAGTTAGACAATTTCATTAGCAGTTGTTGATGTGATACACGATCAAACGCCTCACTGAAAAACATTAACTTGATTTTTATTATCAATTAGTACATCAGAGACAAATTTAGTGAAAATACAAAGATTAGTTGCAGTACTACGTGCCTTGATGGAGCCATGTTGAAAAATGGACAGTGAGGAACGGACATGGTTATAGATCATATCTGATAATATAATTTCCAGTATTTTAGAAAGAACTGATATTAATGTGATTGGCATATAATTTTCAACACTTAATTGTTACCTTTCCAGACTTGAATACAGGGTATACTTTTGAAAATTTCCATATTTTAGGGAAATTGTGATATCGTGCAGAAGCATCGAAAACTGGACATACTGTACATAAGTGTCTCTTATTATCCCCACCATTCGCGATTTCATTCATTTATCACGTTTAGGATTGTCGACGTATACTTCTCAATGATTTATGAATGAATCGCGGTGAATCAACTGTTATTCAGTCTGGGGCTTACCTGATATCTAAAAAGCACCCTGGCGTCAGTCAAGGCGGTCGCCAGCGAGATCCCGTGCTGATAGGGGGCCGTCAGATCGGCCAGGCCGTGGATCAGGAAGAACGATTTTTTGGGCACGTTTCGGGCACGCTGGGTAGCGTCCGCTTCCACGTACCCCTTGTAGTTTTCCGCGGGAAAACCGAGGATGCGTTCCGTGAACGCGGAATCTAACAGAAAGAGACATAAAAGAGACTAACGACTAACGTTACCTGGTCCGGATAGCACTTTTGTATCACCCAGTAAACCGCATCCGGAACCCCTGATCTCGGCATATACACGTCTGGCAAGAATAATTTTCCTTCAGAGAAACCGTGAGCATAGACACGAAGAGAGAAACACGTTGCCATGTAGATTGTAGATTGTAGATGGGTCGTATAGGCTGGGAGACCTCTCGATCACTGCGACCTAAAAGACCTATTGTGATTACGCTTATCTAGTTTTGGTCCTCTAACCCTAGACTTCTGATGAAGCCTAGAATTTTCCTCATGGTTGAATTTTCCACCTCAGCAGGGGTGAGATAGACCTGTTCTAGGTGGTTCAGCCTTTGGTGGACTAATATACTTCACATGAGCAAAGTATATGTTCCGCGGTTTCGGTCGCATTGTTACAAAAGCGGCACGTGTCAGTCTCCACCAGGCCCATCTTTTTGAGGTGGTACCTCAGAGGGCTGTGTCCTGTGAGAAAGCCTGTGATAAGCTTTAGCTCTGGTTTGCTGAGGCTGAGTAGCTCTCTGGCTCGGTTCTGCGACTGGTTGATAAACCTTTTCGCTTGTCGTTGACCTGGAGTTGCTCTCCAGTAGGAGAACTTTTCAATTTATTCCCATTTCCCGAGTTCTCCCTTTAGGTGACATTTGCTTATCCCACAAAAAGGCTCAGGACCCAAAAGTGCAGATGCTGCAACTTTTTTTGCAAGGCGATCAGCTGCCTCATTTTCTTTGATTCCTTCATGCCCTGGAACCCACATAAGTGTGAATTTGTTGTCCATTCCCAGTTGCATGAGTGTTTCAAAGCAGTCCCATGTGATCTTTGATGTGAAAACTAATGATTTTAAGGCATGTGCCAGACTCGAATAGGTGGGGCAACGACGCTTTTTTCCTCTTCGCTGAATACTCATGAATCAATATTCGTATCGGTAAATTATTCTTGCCAGACGTGCATATCGAGTGCTCGAAATGACTTACTGTAATATAGCCAGTCGGCGATTGGACTGACTGAAATACCGCACTTGTAGACCTTCTGCTGGTTACCTAAGCCCAGCACCATGGAAGTGACGTATCCACCATACCCCCACCCCCAAATGCCTACGCGCGTCTTGTCCAAATACTTGTATTTTTCTAGGAGGTGCTCCAGCACCGTAACCTGGAAAATAGATCGATCAGTCAGTGATATCACCAAATCGAATGCATCTTGATTATAAGCTAGTCGTTCGTTTCATTTGTAACACTATTTTTCTGGGGTGTCACTGTATATGACGGTTGTCAGAACAAGATTTCTCATGACTCGAGTAGCTCTTCCAGAATTTACAAGTATTTTTGCAGGAAATTCAAGAGAAAGATGATACCCAGATAGCACAATGTCATTCATAGAACGTTCATAGGATATTCTTCGAGAATATATGAATATTCTCAGATTATTCTCACAATATGGTACAAAATATTCCAGGGATTTTTCATGAACATTCGGAATGGACTGTTTCAAATATTCTGAGAATATTCCTAGTATATTGAAGGAGAAGGAAGGAAATTGTAGATAGCTTGCTCCGGTGGAGATGCGAACCTACTATCCTGTGATTGTATTTTTGCAAACCTGAATCCACTTCGCAACGAACCTTATTGATAAATAAAATGAATAGCAAGAACACTGAATTAGTGGGATAATCAGCTTTGAGGGTAGAGAATAATAGGTTATTGTGTGAATGAATGTTGGAATATCCAAACAAGTCGTAAAAATTATTGAGACGACAACGCTGTTCATATCACTGAATAGTGACTAATCGATTTTTATCCAATAGGCGGTCGGCGCCTTTATAGTACTTATGACGTCAGTACCGCTGACGATTTTCCGTCGTATTCTAACGGCAGCACGCCACATCCACTCAAGTTTGAACAGAAAATAATTGAACAACCTAATTATACTTTCTTTCATATTTTAGATTGTTTCATGTGATTTGAAGAAGCATTGATGAACGAGTACAGAGGTGTTTGTTTGTAAGTAAGAACGAGGTAAAAAAGTATTTGAAATTCCAGTGTATTATGTGTTGTTATCACAGATGACGAATGGTCAATTTGACATGCAACAACCTTAAAATTCCTAGGTGGTTGTGAAAAAAAAGGATCTCCTATTTACTGTTTCTGTCGTGCAGTTGTGTTATTACTTTCTCGTGCATTTATTTATCATCCCCAAAACTCCAAGTGGTAATTTTTCGAGTGCTTCTAAGACGAAAAGTTTTTATAAACATAGTTCCGAAAAAAAATAGTTTTCAAGATGTCAAACTTGTTCAGTTTAGTTAGTTTTTTCTTGAGTCTAATTATAACACAATCTACCATAGACGACAACAAATAACACCGCCAGCAAATTTCAAGAAAATTGGGTGAAGGATTCTCACAATATTTACAGAAAAATCGATTTGAAAAATATATACAGGGGGTTTCATAATATACGGGACACACTTCGAGAGGTATAATAGGGCGTCTCACCAAATTTTGAAAATAGTTCCCATAAACAGAGGTCGTGAACGGCTTCGTTTGCGAGATACAGGGCGTTAAAGTTGCAATCATTTATGAAAAAAAAAATTATGTCCACCCTGTATGACTTATCGTAGTAGAAAAATGTGGTCTCATGTGACGGGCATAGTGCCGCAATTCTAAAATGATGTATATCATGATTGTAGAGTACCTAACCTGAACAGAAGTGTTGATGGACTATCTACATCAAAATGGAGTCTAATTTGGTTATTCCCTTTTTTCTCGAAATCAGTTTACCTTAACGAGTTTCAACAGTTGGTGCTTTTTTCTACACCATTGCATCCTGTTTGATATTTTCGAATAAAATTTCGAAAAGTTTCCAGTCAGATCGACTCGATATGCTACCGATTCAACCACTCTCAGGTACTTATACTGATTCACCAAAATAAAGACATTTTGTTGAGCCTTATCTATTGCGATTCAATTAAAATCGTTTTTTATCTCCAACTTCAACACCCTGTATCTCGCAAACGAAGCTTTCTACGACGCCGTATTACCTCTTGAATTGTGTCCCACATATTATGAAACAACCTGTATATTCGATACACTTTCAAGGATCACTATGTTTGCATGAATTTTTTGTTTAAGAATCACCCAAAAAGTCACCCTTTGAACTTTGCCCACATACTAAAATTACACCCTGTGTGATCGTAAAGTGGTTTACTAAAAATACACATGCACAACACGAGGAGTGTGAACATGTGTTTTACCTGGTCCTGTACCTCTACGCCCCCCAGTTGGTGGTACAGCGATCTATCGCTCTGTCCTCTGGCTCCGCGGACGTCCAGTTTCACGTACACCACGTCGCAATGGCTGGACATGTATGTGCCCCAGTCCACTTTGAATTTCTCCGTAACCGATTTACTGCCCGGCCTACCATTGCTGAAAAATGGATGACATGTATGTTACGAACTGGATGTCCAACGATATCATGGACATTTATGGCACCGTTTCTGTCGAATACATGTATGTTGCGAACTGGCTGTCCAACGATATCATTGACATTTATGGCACTGTTTCTGTCGAATACATGTATGTTGGGAACTGGAAGTCCAACGATATCATGGACATTTATGGCACTGTTTCTGTCGAATACATGTATGTTGCGAACTGGATGTCCAACGATATCATTGACATTTATGGCACTGTTTCTGTCGAATACATATATGTTGCGAACTGGATGTCCAACGATATCATTGACATTTATGGCACTGTTTCTGTCGAATACATGTATGTTGCGAACTGGATGTCCAACGATATCATGGACATTTATGGCACTGTTTCTGTCGAATACATGTATGTTGCGAACTGGATGTCCAACGATATCATTGACATTCATGGCACTGTTTCTGTCGAATACATGTATGTTGCGAACTGGCTGTCCAACGATATCATCGACATTTATGGCACTGTTTCTGTCTAATACATGTATGTTGCGAACTGGAAGTCCAACGATATCATGGACATTTATGGCACTGTGTCTGTCGAATACATGTATGTTATGAACTCATAACGACATTCGAAAACATGTATGTAAATGCCCTAGAATGTCTGGGATATCATCGAGTATGAGTAACTTACTGATGTGCCTGTGAAAACAACAATCGGTATAGTTTAAATGTTACGGACGAACATGGATATTTTGAATCATTGAGTAACATTGAAAAACATATATACTATGCACTGAATATTTAGAGGAACCATCGACATGTATGACATTATCTCACTTAAAGACATCTATGTTCTGGAATTCCAAGATATTATCATCGAGTAACGTACCGACATGTTTCTGCGGAACAACAATCGGAAACATGTATGTTACGAATTCAATGTCCAATAATATCATATAGCCCTGTATGATACTTTTTCCTTGAAAAATGTGGGTATATGTTTCAGAATGTCTGAAATGAAATCATTAAGTAACATAGCGATGCATTTGTAAAGATCAACAATCTAAAACATGTATGATACGTACTCAATATTCAACGATATCATCGACATGTATGCCTACTTCTTACTTCACGAAATGTAGGCATGTTTCCAAATGACTGAATTATGTTCAGCAAGTAACATACCGACGTATTTGTGAAAAACTATATTCGAAATCTGTATGTTACGAGCTGATAATAACCAAGACCATCATGGACATGAGAATATATGACTCTTTTTTCACTTGATGACATACACCAATTTTCAAAGTCTGATCTCAAATAATCATCATCAAGTAAAGAAGGTACCCGATATGTTCGTGAAGAACAATGAGAATAACGATATCATGGACATGTATGACACTTTTCTCAGACATCTTTCAAAATTGTCTAAAATACACTCACCTGCGAAAGAAACCAGCCACCAAAAAGTTTAACATATTGGTCGCCCTGTAACTTTTTTAATTCTAGTCCGATTTTGGTGAAATTCCAACCAAGCCGTATAGACTTACGTGAATTATAGTTCCCAAAGAAAGCTGATGGCTTGATCATTATATAGGAAACTATTAAACTTTTTGATTCACGTCTATTCAAGATATCTAAAAATTGATATCACTCATTTTAACCCCCAGTTTTCAGCACTCAGTACATTTTTTTCATTGAGTAACATACAACATACAACATACGGATGTGTTTATCGACAACTCCATTGAAGAACATATTGTATGTCAAGAGCTGAATATTCAAAGATATCATGGACATGTATGATATATTTCAACGTATGTATATGGTAAAATGTCTGAAATATCAGTTTTTGCACATGTATGTGTGTTAGCTCTCTCAATCACCGCTGCAATAAGAGCGTTCATACCGTCCAACCGCAATGTTCACTGACGACTAGTGCACATGTATGTTACCGTGGTACATGTGTGCCATTGTCATACATGTATGTTTCTCGAAAATCCCGAATGGACACTCACACTTCGACCAGCACCGGATAAGCGGCGTCCCTCAACTCTTCCCGCCAAGATGGCGGCAACAGCAGCTGCACCTGCGCCCTACTGCCTTGCGGTAGGTTAACCTCGAACGACTTGCGTTTCGGCATGGCGTACTTCTCCAGAAGGGCCCATCTCGAGGGCCGAGTGTCGTACAGGATCTCGACCAGCTTGTGATTGGCGGCGTTGTGGACGGCAGCCAGAGGCAGGCCGGGGCCTTCGCAATGGAGGACGTAGTAGGCGGGGGTACGCGGATTGTCGGACCGAGGACTGACCTGAAACAGCAGAGGACAGCATGCTAGGAAATTCTTGACTATCTCGCGGCCTAGCGGTGCCATGTGGCATCACTGTCTTACAGGGTTTGAAATCAGCATGTAGATCCTTGGTTCCTTTGGAATGGTTCCAATAATTAGTTAGTGATGTACCAATAACTTGGTAGATTTCAATGCAAACAAAACACAAGCATGCCTTTTCTCTGGAAAAGCCGATCTCACTGTGCCCAACATAAGCTTGCCAGGAGTCATCATACCCTTGATGACATGCATTTCGATGCTTGGTATCACTATCATCAATAACATTTCTTGGGAAAATCAGGTGAGATAAAGTGCATCCCAAAAACTTGGTTTTCTGTTTCGGGCCAGGAGCTATTTCACTTCCAGTCTATGAGGCACAGATCCGACCGTTTTGATATATGTTGAAGAAAGTTTGCTTCAATCATCTATGTTAAATAAAGTTTGCTTCAATCATCTCACTTTGATCTCAGGAGTCTGTGTTATGAATTTGTACAGACTTTTCAGTATATTGATAGACTTCAATGATAATTTCGATATTCAATCTCGAGATGCAACCAATTTAATCGATACTAATTCAACACCTATGATGTGCAAGATGTTCTTTGAAGCTAGTCGTGATAGGTGTCCTAGTAATGCCTACATATGTTTCTGTACATCATACGATTTGAAACATATTTTTGGAAATCAGTTGATTTTCTGCCTAGTTTTCTCATGTTTGGTATACCCACCTGCGCATTGAAGTGCGTACAATTGCCGTAGAGATATCGACTGCTCCACAGCACGTCTCCCAGATCGCAGGTTATACAGTGCGATTCAAGACGTCGGGAGTCGTCGATGCTAGGGTCTCTCACCATGTACAAGTGATGCTGGCCAGGTTTGTTTTCTTCTGTCGCCAAGTACCAACTGAAAAAAAAAAAACGTTGCAATAGTACATTGTACAGGGTGGCCAACTAAGAATCCAGAGTTCGATACCTTTGTTGTTTTGAGAGATATAAAAAAAAGTTTTGCATTCAAATTAAAGTGATAACCGAGCTCCACATTTCAAAATTCCTTTTAAATACACAGGGTGTTCCGTAAGGTCACAGCACATCAAATCTATGTTTTTTTCATTGGAACACCCTATATTTTATTCCATTTTTGAATTCTCCCTGAAAATCTGATTTCAACGACGCATCATACTTAGGGTCTAGCAGTGAAAGTTACTGACATATGGGGTGTGCAAAATCGAGATTTTTCAAGTTTAGGATTTTTTTCTGTCGAAACTTTTCATTATTCGTCAAAACGGTTTGCATGTCCCTATCTCAACTTTTCACTCACTATCAATTGGTGTTCAATTGACATTTAATTGAAACAAATTATAAATTTAGATTTTTTGACCACCGTGTATCAATTTCAATTGAACACCAATTGATAGTGAGTGAAAAGTTGAGATAGGGACATGTGAACCGTTTTGATGAATAATGAACAGTTTCGACAGAAAAAAATCCTGAACTTGGAAAATCTCGATTTTGCACACCCTATATGTCAGTAACTTTCACTGCTAGACCCTAAGTATGATGGGTCGTTGAAATAAGATCTTCAGGGAGAATTCAAAAATGAAATAAAATATAGGGTGTTCCGATTAAAAAAACATAGCTTTGATGTGATGTGACCTTACGGAACACCCTATGTATTCCAGAGAAATTTTGAAATGTGAAGCTCGGTTATTACTTCAATTTTGATCCATGATTTTTTCTTGTATCTCTCAAGACAACAGAGAAATCGAACTCTGGAGACTTAGTTGGCCACCCTGTACACCTAGGGAATTAAGTGGTATTTTGAATCCCTAGACAAAAAGTTCATAGTCCGACCAACAGGAGGGATTTAAAAACACTTTAGTCCCGAGGAGTATACACTATTTTATGCACTTCAGGATAGGTAAAACAAAGGAAAAAATCACGAAAAAAATTTTGATGCTACTAAACGGTAGTTACTCTATTTCTGAAACATCATCGAAGGAGTTGATTATTACCATATCAACGACCTCAGTAACTATGGTGATCCAGATCATGATTGTCATCGGCAACCGAAAATCTTGGTGTGTTATGACAAGTAACTTTAAATCCCTAGGGATTTAAGGTACCACTTTTTTCTGCAAAAATAAGACAAAGAACTGCTGTGCAGGTTCTGTCAGGGAGAGGAGAAACAGAAGTACACATACTTTGCCACTGCGAGGACTTGTCGAGACTAATGTTGCTAACGCTAGAAGACGAAAAACCAAGAGATTAAAGATACACAGGGAATCTGAAAGCTAGCCTATGGAGTTTCATAGAGAAGGCAAGACTAGCCAAAGAACTCTAAAAACGATAGCACCAAGATCCAGTGGCGGCTCGTGACTTTCATGACAGAGGAGGCTGAATGATATGAGATTTATTGTGAAAAACAACTCTCTACTCACCCAAATCAATAGCTTTAATGACATTCTGTTTACCAGTTAACCTGAACTTAATACTTGAAGAGATGTGTTCCTGTGATTTGCAGTGTCTATCCAATCCGCGAGCCAAATTTTTCAAATCATATTATATCCTAATCGCCCTCAACATGATGACTTATCGGTTGAAAATAATACGCAGTATCAACAAAATAGCTTATTCCTCACCTCAGATCCCGTCAACCAGAAATATTTTTTATAATTATCAGAATTGAACGAACGATTTCGTTTGTTACCTGTTGAAATAAGAATTTTTAATTCCGGTGTCGGACGTTTGTTTTTCACAATCAATGTATCTTCATAATACAAAGCACTGAATGGGTTCACCAAAAAGTATTCCACTAAATCGCAATCGTTTAAAACACTCATTTTTCAGAAATTTATAGAGCCCTTAACCATTAACCTAACATAAACATAAACAATGCCCGCAATTCGCGACGCGACACGACAAACACGTGCTATTCGGGCGTATTCGGGCATTTGCATTGCGCGAGTGGGTTGCGCATTGTGAAGGAGTCTAGCCTCCTATAGATGTTGCCAAGTTGAATATTTTACGCGTGATTTGCAGACTTCAACGTGTGATGCGTGGGCAAGCACTGTTGCCAATTCGAAAATATTTACCTAAAAACAGGAAATAAAATCAAAATCCATGTATTTTGGTGTCCTCTTAATGAGAAAGTAAAGATAATATCAGTGCAAGGAAAATCTCTAAGGAGGCTCAGCCTCCGTTGCCTCCTCTGAGGAGCCGCCACTGCCAAGATCCCATTCTGAATCTAAAATATTTATGGTTATCCAGTTATCCACATTGAAGGAACTTTGAATCCCAAAATAAACCAAGGAATTACCTTCTTCAATATATTCTGGACATTAATTTATTCTCCTGTAGGAAATGGCTAAGGTGAATCGTGATTCATTCAATTTGCAAATGCTGTTGCATGTCTTATTTCACCCTCACAGTGGACACAAATCACAAAACGGCTTCCTGACACATTGAACGTTTGCTTTCCGTATTCAGCTTTCCGTCGGGCGTCTATTAATATTCCAATTTAGCCAGAAACGTGCTAATGCCATGTGGGAAATTCGATTTTCCATCATTACCTGTCCGACAGCCAGGTGCTATTAGCAATAAAAGATTAATAATAGGTTTGCAATTAGGCTAATGAAGTGCAAACTTCCAATTCAATCATGTTGCCACACCAATGATGATCTTTGTTTAATTATATACGCTTTGTGTTTGCTGATACCAACATATTGTAATGATATTCCCCTTGGAGGGGCTTTAGAAACATCAGCAGGAAGGCAGGAGTACAACGATCATCCTGTATCACGCATCCCAGATTGCTCTCCAACCTCTCAATGATTCCTACATACACCAGCATATTTTCGAACACTCAATATATGCCGCAGTGACAAAGAACGTCACAGAAGATTCTGGAATGTTCTGGAAACAATCGATGGAACAATTAGAGAGAGAGGTTTTGTTCTAAGAAGCTTCTAGAACAAAAAGAAGGAGACAGAAGATCATTCGAGAACGTTCTCGAGCCAAAGCCTGCCATGTGTTCTCATATATAAGACGGCCGAACATCTGAGTCAGTCAGTTGAGCAGCGAGTGTCAGGGAGACAGTTATATACCGCGTGATATAAATCGTTTTACATAAATAGTAGTCATAAGTTCGATATAAATTAGTGTTTCTTCAGTTTAAATAAATCAGTTCGAAAATAAATAGTGTCGTGTTCGCTTCTGCACCCGAATAACGTAACAATATTTTTTCAGCTCAATAGTTCTATATCGTGCTTATCATGGCAAAATGGAAGTATCTCGTGGTCAGACTGACAAATATCAGTAATATGGGTTCAGGGTAGAAAAATATCGGTGATGTAATGCCCAGAGTGGAAGAAATAGTGGTAACTGTACTCAAGGTGGCAAATTATTGGTAGCAAAGAACTGAAAATGGAATAAAATCTGTAGTGAATTGCTAAGGGTGGCGAGATATTCTTATTGAATGCTCATCATGGGAGAATATCGGAAGAATAATGCTCAAGGTGGTAAAATCGATGAATAGTACTCTAATAGACAAAATATCGATAGTATATAGTACTCAAGGTGGGTAAATGTCAGGCATTTGCCACACAATAATCCTCAAGGGGCAAAATTGTTGGTGCAATAGTGCTCAGGAAGGCAAAATATCGGTAGTGAAGAACTCAGAATGAAAAATATCAGTACAGTATAGTGCTCAAATTGACAAAGTATCGGTAGCGACGTGCCTACGGTATCGGAATATCGAAATTCATTCATCATATTCAAGGTAGCAGAATATTGATAGTGTATAGTGCTCAAGATGGCAAAATATTTGTGAGCTCGTTTCCCAATGAAATATCACTCATATCAAAGGATTGGTCATACTCCAAGCCAGTTTTTTGTAGAATTCCGGTGATATAGTCAAGTGGCAAAATATCGGTGCTATTGTATTCCAAGAGGCAAAATATCTGTATCTGTTTCTGAAATAGGTATATGCAACATAATATTTCAAACACCACTCACATCAGATAACTGACTATATCCGAAGCTACTTTTTTGCAGAATATTGGTGATTTAGAACGCATTGTGAAAAAAAATATCAATGGTATAGTGCTCTGGGTGGCAAAATAGCAGTAATAAAACCCAGGGTGATGAAATATATCAGTATTGAAGCGCTTGGAGTGCCTACATTGACAAAATATCGTTAGTAAAGTGCTCAGAGTGGCAAAATATCGGTACTATAGTGCTCAAGGAAGCAATATATTTGGAGTAGATATGTCACCCAATATATTACTCATATAGATGACTGACAGTATCCCAAGCCAGTATTTTGCTGACCTCATGCCTGCCGTCACTAAGAACAGCGATGTGTTGCCTTGTCACCGTGACAAAAAAATATAATCGGTATCGTGCTCTGGGTGGCAAAATAGCAGTAATGAAGTCGAGGATGATGAAAAATATATCAGTATTGATATCGTTAGTGAAGTGCTCAGAGTGGCAAAATATCGGTACTATAGTGCTCAAGGTGGCAAAATATTCGGTATATGTCACACAATATATTACTCACATCAGATGACTGACAGTATCCCAAGCCAGTATTTTGCTGACCTCATGCCTGCCGTGACTAAGAACAGCGATGTGTTGCCTTGTCACCGTGACATGCTTGATGTGGGTGTAAGTCTCTCGACTGCCCTCTTGTACAGCAGCCAACATGAGGAAACTGTCACCGTCCGGCGAGAACACCGGGTGTTCTTCTATCTCGAGCCAGGACTTTTCTAGGGCTCTTTCAGCGTGTGTCTGAAAAAAAATAGTTATCGATTGAGTCAGGGCCAGCGTAGCCTCGTGGTTGAAGCGTCAGTATGCTATACACGTTGGATTGCCGGTAGGTGGGTTCGGTTCCCACCATTACCGCAGGAATTTTTTTGGATACACTGTACATTGGAATACTGACCTCGATGCATGTCCAGTTGGGAGCCAGACATGCCGACACGATGCTGAGGTTTTGCGCCCTATTTATCCACACCACGGAAACCTGAGTATTTCGCTGACCGATCCAGCCAGCCGACGTCAAATAATAATCCCTGGTGAAAAAATAGAATGAAGATATATAAATTATTACATAAAAATCCCTCAGAATGACCGTTGGTTTGCATCACATTTGATTATGTCAGTTATACAAAAAATTTTATATAGGGGTTACGTACCGTGGATTCACATAGGATTTACATAGGGTTTACATAGATTCTATATAGAGTTTGCAGTGTTCACATAGATTTTACATAGGTTTACATATGGTTCACATAGGGTTTACAAAGGGATTAATATGGGTTTTACATAGATTTCGCATGTTCTACATATGATTTATTATATGTTTCACATTTGTTCTGAATAGATTTCCTCAGAATTAGATGGTAACAGTTGATACTTACTGTCCTAATAAGGCTTTTGGTGGCAACACTTGATGGTACTCTAGGTTTGTCAAATTCGAAATGTCGACGACCCAAAGTTGTACTAGTGGAATAGGAGTCCCAGGCTGCAAAAAAAAATCACTACATTAACAGGCCGTCTTCATATTCCAATATGATGTGAGAAAAAATTTTCTGTTTTAGCTCACCGTTGGGTATCGTACGCTTCTGGAAGAAGGAAAAGAAGGCGCTCTTTGAGATACGCCAGAAGATCCTAAAACGGACCCAGTCTGAAACCAAGGAAAATTCATGATGCCAACTTGGCTATCATTGAAGGTTGCATACAGAAGATGCGTCCCATCGTGGGAACTCCACAAAGCCTCTGGCGTTCGCAGAATGTCTTCTGGAAATCAAAGAAGAAATCTTCTTCAAATTTTGCTCGATACCTCGAGAAATGTGATACAGTAGGTGTCGATACAGCATAGATACCCCCTCCACTACTATGTATCGAAGCTCCGCCCACAATTGTACGTCACTTAATGGGAGGAGCAAAACCCACTTACCTTGGTACAACCAATCTGGAATGCCATTGTAGACCACGTCAGGTTGTCCAGTGAAGGTTATTCTGACGTCTGTTTCCGCTGTAGGAGAACTTCTGTGATAGATGTCGTTGTTGAAGACTATCAACAGAGCTGTCGTGGTGCCTAACCATGAAACGTACTGGAGACGTTCTGGTTGAGCTTTTGGAGACGATTCCAGTCGTACTGGAATATGATGACTGAAATGAAAAAACAAACTCTTATGAGAAATGTATCCTTGTCAATCAATCAACACTGTGCTTTATTGGCCAACAATAATATTCCTCATTGACAAAGCATGGTTTGACATTATTCTAGTGAATTTCCACTTTGTTCAGTAGGAAGTAATATAATTATGTGAAATACAAATGTGTAAATAATGTAAATTTGAACACAAGATTGAATCTGTTATGGATGCTATGTTAGTTTGAATTGCTTTCTTAGAGATAGACAATAGTCAAATCTCGACTGTGAAAAGTTGACGTCTCAAAGTATGATAAGCAAGAAAAGTTCTGTAATACATTCTCGCTGACTTTTTATTCAAACTGGCATTATCTTAGTTTATGTTAGACATTCAGTAGAACCTCACTAGGCTAGCTGATATCTTGATGATGAATGAAATTCGTGTAGATCGCTGTATTCGCTGAGACACGCTATTCTTCCACCTCTTTTCTGCATTAATTCAACAGATAACTTGTTATTCGAAGCATGGTAATACATCACGGACAGGAAATTCAAAGGTCAGGGTAGATTATGTGGGGTGAATCGATCGTCAGTCAGGGATGATGAATGGCGTTCAAATCGCCAACTCTATTGGACCATATACATATTATATTTTACATTGCAAAACATGCTGGTGCTGACAATTTTAACGTAGCCATGTATCCATCCACGCCTGGCTGGAAAATTTCCATGCAGATGGTATTTTTTATCTCTTGGAGAGCACGAGAGGAAATCCCTATAATGTTCGAAGAACATCGTGGAAACCTAGAGAGAAAAGGGAGAGGACGTAGGTATTGGAATTTTTGTGAACTTTTGGAGGTTATGAGTTCTTGGGAATACTTTCATCGGCAGAGAATTCCAAAACTTCGCCGTTTTGTAGACGAAAGAAATCTGGTGGAGAGTTGTTCGACATAATTTTTTTATGTTCTGGTTCCCACGAAAAGGGATATCCTGTAATGTTCAGAGAACATCGTGAGAACCAAGGGAAATAAGATAAGAATTGGTATTCTTCTTAGATTTCTGGAGGTTATATGCCTCGGGGAACACCTCTCTTGGCAATGTGTTCCAGAGCCTCGCTATTCGTTGGATAAACGAGTCTTTGGAAAGAGATGTTCTGCAGGTCTACAAAGTGACCACGAAGGGGTGCGAATCCTCAACTCGACGGGTAAATCTCGTGAAGACTGCCAAGGGAGGAACAATTGTTGATATTTCAGAAGAGCATCGTCCATGAAAATATCTATAAAATAGAGCCAGATCGCCAACTTTTCTACGGTGTTCCAGAGAAGTGAGTGAGATGAATGGCCCTTTTTTGGACAGAATCCAACAGTTTCAGGGTATGTTTGGGTGCTGCACTCCAAATATGGGAACTGTATTCCAGAACAGGTCGGATCTGTGCCTTATAGATCATATGCAGCTGACTAGAAGTGAAATAGCTCCTGGCCCGAAACAAAAAACCAACTTTTTGGGATGCACTTTTAGCAATTGATCTCACGTGATTTTCCCAAGCAAGGTTATTGCTGATAGTAATACCAAGCATCGAAATAGATGTCTTCAAAGATATAATTACTCCTGTCGAGCTTATGTTGGGCACAGTGAGATCGGCTTTTCTAGAGAAAAGGCATACTTGTGTTTACTTTTGTGCATGGAAATCTACCAAGTTATTGGTTATATTTGGTTATATTTCGAGGTTGGCAATGAACGGATGTGCTGACTGGGCTTGTAGAGTTCGTCTGACTGGTATTGCTAGTGATGGAATGATATCAACGGTTTCTAAAGAACATTTCCCGTAGAGGTATCTTTAGAAAAGTGAAAGGTTGCCGACTTCTCAACGGTGTTCTGATGAGTTCAAAGGATTAGTGAGTGTGGCATCACTCACCAGGTTTTCTGGATGGAATCTAAGAGCATCCCCTTACAGCACAGGGATATCCTAGTTACGTCCCTTTTATGTCCCAAAGTGCACTATCGGTACAAAGATACGCAATCTTAGGTGAATCACCCTGTATATTGACACCGAATAAAAATTCACGATAATCACTTCAAGAAATAATACTGTCATAGTGATGTAGTTATCTCGAGATAATCAGGCTTGCTATTGAATCGAACGGATCAAGACCGCCTATATAAGAGATTATTGAAATAGAGGCTTACAGAGACTCGAAACAAAGGCTCACAGAAATAAAACCCTGAAATGCTCCGTTTCAGTATTCCGGTTTCCTTTTTTCACGAACGTATTCATCGAACAATAGAAAATTTGCAACGGAATGGGTCCCTTCTTTCCGTTCGCTCTTGCGAATGCTCAACATGGATACATGACCTGAAATACTCCTGACTTCACTATCTCATCTGGATATTTTCATGTTGCAGAAACCAAACGCAACATTTATCAAACCTATTTGAGAAATAGAACGTACACTTATATTGATAGCTTAGAAACCTCTTCCCCTACTCATTTTGGTAAACTCCACCCTCTTTAGATAACGGGACGATCTAGGTATTCGACTGCCCAGATAATACGTGGACGTCCGAGAAACGTCTGCATTACGTCAGAACGTTCTGAAGACGTCCATTGTCGGTCGATAGACGACCCGAGGACGTTCTGGGGACATCCGATGTTACAAGTTGGAACGTTTTGGGGACGTCCATCATAGGTCCATGTTAAGGATTTCATGAACAAACATCATTGAAATAGCGAATTAGTATCAGCTTCAACAGTAAATACCTCCACAGTATTTTTTTCAATTAATCACTTCGAAAAAAGGGAGAGAAAAAAATGTTGGTGGAATTCGAACCCGGGACCAACTGACCATTGTGTTTGTTACGAACTTATGTACAAGACTGTTCTCCACTCGTCGCAATGGTGCGATCTCTTTCCGCAATTTTGTTTTTGAATCAGTATCACAAAATACTTCATCACACAATGTTATTAGTCAACCTCGATTGAAAATCACAGAATACGTGTGACATGATCGATTTCTAATGCAGTATAATAACAGATAATATAAACATGGATTGGGACCTAATTTGTACGTCTATAGTTATGACATGAAATAGACATCCTCGAGACGTCCTGTTCTAGCGGGGTGGTTATATACAGGGTGGAGACTCTAAGTGGAATACAATTGATAGTGTGGAGGCCAATATGTTTTCTGAAAATTTCCGACATACATCAATGTCTCAATGTATTCACCTTCATTCTGCAATAAATATGGTAAATATAGCACTTTTGAGGTAGTTCAAACCACCCTCATGACTTGTGACCCCTCTTTGGAAATCTGGTGGAAAGAGGATTCCATTGTAATGATCACATTTCAGTTTCTAGTACGTTTGAAGGTTGCATAAAAGCAAAGCGTCACTTCAGAATTCAATTCTTTTTGCTCAGAATGTGTATTAAGGCCATAATTTTCAAATTTCCCACAAACAATTCAAAGCAATTCTTGCTACAGCTGTTGTCTGGTATTTCATGCCAGTGTTTTACACAGCCTCAAAAAGAAATTTGTTTTTTTGCCGTATTCACATTTCGAAACGATATGTTGCAAACTGAATCACTAGAAAGATAGTATATAGTTAATCTGTCTCAAAATATCACTGTGTAACTGAATCATAATCATAGTCATTCAGGAGTAATGCAAGATCAATTCATTAACACAGTTATATTCAGGGATAGACCATATTCTCTGTCTTCTAAAATTCAGATGATTATCTTGATGATTCCAGATAAAATAGACATACCCTAAAAACTCCTAGAAAATAATTAGAATGTAAATATATAATATTGTTAGATGTTTTGAGTAACATTAGATATACGTTATGAAGTAACATTGATTTAATGTAATTCCTGATATTTATATAATATTTACCATTAACATTACATTGTAATATTTAAAAGAGGCACAAAGGCCCATTGATGCAACGTATCTATGACATTTAGCATCTCAAAAAAACATCACAAAGTAACATTTATGTTTAAGTTATATGTTTTCATGTTTAGTGGAAATCAACGGAATTTAATCTAGTGAAGAGTACAGAATCAGATAATGTTGATTAGTAAATAGAGTTGTTAGCTAGCGATTATAGTGGTAATGTGCTCAGCAAATAGAAAGTTAATACTGTTAATAATCGTCAAACATCACAAAACATTGACCTTTTGCGTGACTCCTTAGGTATTGCAATTTTCTCCGAAATTTGGATGGGTATGTAATGTCTGAAAATTATTAAACAATGTTAGTAAGAGACATGTTTTAACCGGTGGGAAAGTATTCTACAAGACGTATTTGAAAAGTTTGGAATAAGCGTGAGGTTTAGTAGAGTATACTTTTTTGAAGGGATTTCAGAAATACAAAGAAAGACGAAGACTAAAGACAGCTGAAGATTGAAAGAATTCCATAAGGTGTTAAAATTTTTCGAAACATCAAGACGTCAAAAATAGCTTCTTATCGGTATACTGCAGTGTTATAATTATTTATTTTTATACAAACAATTAGAATGGTGTTTGTTCCAAATAATTTGATGTGGAATGTTTAATTTCTGAAATAGTGCTAGCAACAATACATTCTGATTCAAAGAATTGTCCAATAAATAAAATCTTTCATACAACAATATCATTCCCGTGAACCAACTAATTGAAATAAAGTACCTCATTGAGTTTTCTGGCTAATTTTCATACTTTCACATTGTGGAATACGTTCTCATAAAATGTGGCATAAAGTACATGAGCTTAATTGGGATAATATGCCGGAGCTTCACGAATACAGGAGAATTGGGAATAATAGCTTTTCCTAGAATAATTATATATTTTCAGATCTTCAAGAAAATAATATATTTGTTTCAGAAGAAAAAGAAAACGATACGGGGAAAAAAGTGGTACTTCAAATCCCTACGGATTTAAAATGTACTTTAAATCAACTTCAAACAATAAATCGTTACCGTCTCAACGTAGATCATATTATGAAATACAGACTACTCATATCGAGTCATATATCACACCCACCGCTGCCACCATGTAATATGTTTGATTCAGTATAGTTAATAATAAATTGATAACTTATATTCGGGAATAATTTATATTCTGACTTTTAACTTCAAACAATAAATCGTTGCCGTCTCAACGTAGATCATATTATAAAATACAGAGTACTCATATATCACAATATAGATCAACCTGACTATATTTTTTTCTATTTTCGAATGTTTCCAAATAAAAAACTCGAAAAACTATGTTGATTTCTTCTGTTTAACCTCTTTATATTATGGCACTCAGCTCATAATTATATCAAAATAATATTAATCTACTTCACGTTTCTAACCCAAGTTTAGGACTGTTTCAAGTTAACTCTTAACAAGAAGGTAGTGAAAGTCACGTGACTTTGATCAAGTAGGCCATTTATCATCTTTTTTTAAAGCAAAACTAAATGCCCAAGTGGAATTTCAAAATGAATTATCATTGAAATGTTTTTCAATATGATGCAAAATTCATGAGAGACACTGTTCATATTATCCTCAATCCCTTAACCTAGGTCCCGGGTTCGATTTTTTCATTAGTGCTTATTACATGAACCAGCAGGAATGGCCGTAAAAAGAAACGAGCGTCGAAGGTTGGGATTTTCCACGGTTGTTGAGTTCAAGCTCATAGAAGGAAGTTCTGTTCTCAATGCCATGCAACATCGGAACAAAAACGGCCAATATACAGTAAGACGACTCTGAAATGTCTAGACAACAGCTGAAGACGAAACTTCAGACATCAATTGTTATTGGATAATATTCTACTAGACCATCATACAAGAACAAAATTGAAACTTTGCCTGGCTTTTCGTTTATATTTTTATGCACTAACAAACACAAGGTTGACTGAGGAAGTAGGTAAGCCATGGGCTAAGCCATTCCCTCCCTATCAAATCCTGGGTGCTCCGCCCCTTTTAGATCACGTGTTGATGCACAAAAAGCGAATGGAGGTGCCTAACTATGGTTCTTGGAATGTTTATTATGACTAGACAGAGATTTGATGTCAAAATAATAGCTAGCTGTGATAAAAAAATATACGGCCCAACAATAGTCGTTGAAGGTAATTCCCAAGGACATAATACAACCGAATTTCAAGAGTCTTTGAGTAGACCACACAAGTTCTGTTTATGAAACTCATTTCGGCTTATTTCTTGAGGTTAATATTTTTTTCAAGCTCTAACAAAAGGTTTATTATTATGAAGTATTTATAGGTACTTACTCTTTGCTGACGTCATAGATGGTGTAATGCGCTGTATAGGATTGTCTGAATACCTGCAAAAGAGAAACAGAAAAATAATGAGGATTTAGCACAGGAAGTTTCTTGTGCTGAAAAACTTCGAGTATGATTTAAAATTTCTGTCTCGCTAACTTTGTTATTAGCTCGAGTATAATTCATCGGATACATTCTAGGGTGGTTTATTTGTTTTTGCCAAGAAAAACAAATGATTTAGGCGAGTTCTGCGGGATTTCTGATTGATTCTGGCTTTTTCTCTTTTATCGAAGTAGAGTTTTCGTGTGGATGAAGAAGCGTTCGAATAGATATTTAGATGTAACAAACGCGATAAGTTTTCACATTGTCTTTATGAGCTTCAACTTCATAGGATCATTCCTAAAAAACACTTGAACAAAAAATAAATGATAGTATTGATCATTAAAAACTATAATTAGTAGATGAACAAAGGGAGTTCTGAAACTTTGGCTCCACCTTCTGAAAATACATGAAATCAAAAGAGATATTGATGAAACTTTCAACAAATCGAATAGAGATTCGTTGAACAGAAGCTCACTGTGACAGTTCTGTTGAAAATTCTCTACCATCACGACGAGACCAGATGCAAATCCAGTTCTCTATCTCGATCACAAATTCAACGTATCAAAATGTCATTACGTGGTTTCTGGAAACAATTTCACTGTCTACTCTATAGCCAGTCTATCGTACCCCAAACGACGTATTATATCTGGAACTTATCAATTTCCTCCAATAAAAAAGTCATTTATCAATCGGGAAGCCAGAGCAATAACATCGTGTAAACTATGTCTATTGAGAGAGTTCAGACGAGTTGGCGCTGGAAACAGCAGATATTTGGCTGTTTGCCCCGTTTTGTAGCCTGCTGAGACCAAAGGTGTCCCTCAGGGAAAAATTCGGAGCTAATTATCGCCTTTTCAAATATTTCAGTGTAGGACAGTACTGAGGAAATTCGTTTCTTGCTACTTACATGAAGTTTTTCAATGTCTGTGTTTCAAGGTCAAAGTGTTTAAGAAGTGATCCCGAAGTCAAGGTCAAATCGAATGTTTTTGCGGACGCCACTGGGTATAGAGTTCCTGCAGGACAATCACGTGAGAACATTAGCGGAATTGATCATTTTTGGGTCGTCCGTTTTGCAGACGGTCTGTGGTGTTCTCTTGTTTTATGAGCTTACGAAAAAAATCGAACTCTTTAAGGAGTCTGCTATGAAAACATTGAAAGAGAAGGCAAAGCCAATAAATATAGGGAAAACAAATTCTTGAAGAGTAGACTAAAAGTTTTATCGAGTTATCGCTTTCTTCTTGAGATGCAAGGGTTTCCTGAAGGATGTGATTCTCATTGTACAGGGTGATCCCTAAAACCGTGACAAACCACAAACCCATTTGATGAATAAACCTTATGTTTTTATTTACTATCATTCAGAACAATTGAAACCTTTTTATATAAATGCCCATTCTTGTGCTGAATATAACCATTTCCGAATAAAAAAATGGACTCCATATTCTCCCCAATTACTAGGACCTTGATGAAGTCACATAAACATACCCATTCTGAATGACCATCCCCTTAGGAAATATACCGTGACAACACCCCTCGTAAAGTCAAACTACCACTGAAACCTCCGACATTTATGGGGTCATAGGAATATGCGCTTCCAGAGTAGGATGGTAATGGTTTATTAGAGTTTCCGATCGAGCGTAAAATGCGTATTGTCACGAATGTGTATCGCGTGTCAAGAACTGCCTATGTACGTCAAGTTATTATCGCTGACAGGATATTCCTCGAGAATTAATCGTCCTGTTCGCACCAGGATACAGATTTTTGCAGACATTGTTGCCGAATCTTTGACTAGATTTTTTTTCTTCCTCAAGAACGTCATCAACTTTGGTGTTGTCCATGAAATACATACAGGGTGATTCGAAAGTAAGCGGCATTCTTTCGGTCGCGTAATCCGTGCATGAAAATAAGGCACAATAGTTATTTAGAGGGTAAAATGCGTATTGTCACGGATGTGTATCGCGTGTCAAGAGCTGCCTATGTACGTCAAGTTATTATCGCTGACAGGATATTCCTCGAGAATTAATCGTTCTGTTCGCACCAGGATACAGATATTTGCAGACATTGTTGCCGAATCTTCGACTTGATTTTTTTTGTTTCTCAAGAATGTCATCATCTGGACGGTGATAGTGCATATGTTGAACAAAAGAAAGCTGTCACATATTTAGGTGTCTCTATGGATGGTCTAAACTGGAGATCTCAATGCTCGAATCTTGTCTTCAACTTATACTTTGCTCAAGTAGACTTTCGACTGAGATATACAGTTTGTTTGTGGGGTAATTCAGTAGCAGTGCCGACGTGTTGGTAACACTTCTTGTAGACCGTTTTTAAGAAAATGCGAAATTCTAACTGTCACTGGCATTTAAATATTCGAAATGTGTATGCTCATTTTGAATAGTAACCTTCATAATTATCATACTAGGCAGAAAAATAAATATTATGTACCCTTTGCAGAACTCAAATTTTTTAGCACTAAAGCTTCTCAATTGACTACCCAATAATTTGAAAAATATCGTGAAGATTAACAAACTGTTTCAAGAGCCAACTCAATGAACTCTTGACATCATCATGTTACTATTCCCTTAAAGATTATTTAACTTAAGGATGCATCATTATTTCACTGTTTCGTTCTCTTGACTATTCCTATATGGTTTTTGTAACTATCAAAAGGAAAATAAAATGTATTTTTGTTATTATTATTATTATAGCCTTTTCAAAATATTAGACCTTAATTGAAAATGCTTCAAATATGCTCTGAAATAATGTGCTTACTGAACTTGTAAAGGTAGAGCAGCTAACATAATGACATAATTTTTTTATATAGGTCATTATTGAAAAAAATACTAAATATTCACTTCCTTCAGTGCGAAACAAAAGAAATTTATCGGATTGTACACGCATCGTTAATGAAATATTGCTAGTTTTCTGTACATGCAATGGATATTTTTTGTATTCAAATGAGTAGCGGTTTCACAATGCAATTTTCTCCAGAGAAAAATTGCTTCGGTTCGATTTTTTTATCGGTTGGGGCACATAAGGAAATCCCTATAATGTATAGGATTTTGATCTGTTTCAACCACACAGATGCGAAAGCTTTGTTACCGCCTTCGATGTTGGACTTACACTGAAAAAACATGCTAGCACTATAATACGTAGAAATGGTAAATGTATTTTTTTCTACAAACGTCAAAAAATGACATGGTTTGCGCATTGATAACAATATTCGAAGTGACACTTTTTTCAGTTTCCTACGTTATTGTTAAGTAGATACGCGATTGTTGTGAGATTATTTTCCACAAAGTCGGTCGACCACAAACATTATATTAACAAATCAAGTTTGGGTGACTAGTTTCGACTTAACGGCCATCTTCAGACACATAAAATACCTAAGAAGACATGTAAGAGCAGGAAATTGAAATTTTAAATTATAAATCAAAATTCCCTCAATAAGAGTTTCATCAGCTGTGACGATAGACTTTTTCCTTAAGATACAACCAAACTGTGAAATCCATGTTTTCAATCAAATTCATTTCATTGTTATTCTTCTGATTCATGGAACTCAGCATTGAAAATATGTTGTAATTTTCAATTTTCTACCTACCCTAGCAAGAGGGCCACCTTTTTTTGAAACACCCTGTATACTTGGTCAAGTGCAGTGGAGTGATCGATGTGCACGGTTGAACCACTTCAACCCATCTTAGTCGACTTGATTCCTCCTTGTAAACATGGCCACCGTACATGCGCATACAAATTCGGTTCTGGCGGCAGGCCTATAGCTTTCGAATCTGTGGTTTCAACACGCTTTTAATTCACAAAAGATACAGAAACTTTATCTATCTTTTGGTTAAGCGTTCCGAAATTCACTCACGTGCCTCTCTAGATTCAGAACAATTCCGGGTTATCTAAATTAGTAATCTGCGTGTCAAGAAGCAGTCTGTCCCTGGCTTACAGTTTGATTTATCCTAAATTCATTCTTGCTATCTCGAATTCTATCTAGATATCTGAACAACTTGTAATTGATTAGGCCGGAAGTTCCCACAATGAAGTTCACGAATGGTGATTTTTTTTGACCTGTGAAGGATTAGTAGATGAGAACGGAGAGTTCTGTGCTACAGTCCATCAAACTCTCATGAAGGTTAAACAATTCTTGGTTTGAATTTTAATTTCTTTGGGTCTGTTTAAGAGCACAGATTACGAGTTGTTAAAAATGTTTTAGTCTGACAAACTTCTGGAGAGGCTTTTAAGCTTTGGAGAATGCTTTTGAAATAATGATTGCTAGATAAATATATACATTATACATGTCTTCAAGAAAACTTCTTTGCATTTCCACAAAATGCAAATTCTTTCGATTTTAATTGTCGAGAAACAGCCAGTTTCCCTGCTTTCTAGACAGAATGTGATAATTATGTAAATTACTCCGTATACTAGTCGAATGCAAATTCCGTGAGTTAAATTTTCACCTTGATAGTGAGTAATAACGACATAGATGTCGTTAAGATAGACGTGGAAAGGTTACAATGCACTACCAGGATTAGGTTACCAAAGAGTTAGAGTCTACCTGATCGTTATAAATGGACGGTTTACATGCAAATTTGGGACGTTTTGTATTGTTCCCAGGCGCTGAATCATGGGATACTAACTTGAAGCCCAATCATTAGATAACAGTTCCCTTCATTAAAAACACGCATGAGGAACTGTTGTACCAGAGTTGTGCAATATTTTCATTCATTTATTTCATTTATTGAAGTAATACATCCAACAGACTAAAAGTCCAATTACAGGAGTATATAACAAAAGGAGAATGTGCATCACATACTTATCTAAGCATAGTATAACACTATGACTATAACATAAATATCTATGAGTATGATAATGAACAGAAAAGAAGAACACTATTTCAACCAATGATTATGTTAGTTTGATATGAGCCTATACAGAGCTTTTTTGAAGTGACAAGAACCCAATAAAAATATATCTACTGAGGGTAAATTATTGAAATATGCTGCGAATTAGGTACATCAATATGGAAAGTTAGGCTAGTTCTAGAGACTGAGCGAGGTACATTGAAATTTAAGAAAGACAACAAAGTTGATGAATCGATTTCATTGTGGATAAGTTCATGGATGAAGGAGAGAGCAGCAATTTCACGACGTTTTTTTAAAGAGACAATATTGAATTCATTCAAAAGTAGGTGATATTCATAGTGTCTCACAGGATACGAGCGGTGCACTTTGAAATAAATGAATTTTAAAAATTTACGTTGAGTGTTATCGAGTTTGTCAATATACTTATTATGATAGGGATTCCATATTTGGCTGGCGTATTCCATTTTCGTCCTAACCAAAGAGAAGTATACACATTTTACTGCTTCGACTGATTGAAACTCTTTGCAATTACGTATAACGAATCCGAGTAGGCGTGTTGATTTATTAACAATATTTTCTATGTGGGAAGAGAATGTCAACTTCGTGTCGAACGTTATTCCCAAATCCTTACATTCATGCACTCTCATAACTATGTTATCGTTCAGCATATAGTTGTGTACAATAGGAGACTTACGTGAATATGTCATCACTTTACATTTACTGATATTGAGTGGTAAGTTATTGGAGTTACACCATTTCACAAGGTTACACAGATCATGCTGTGAAGAAATGCAGTCCGTTATGTCATGAATTTCACTATATATTTTCATGTCATCAGCAAAAAGGAGCTTATTCGATTTAATGAAATCACATATGTCATCAATGAACATGAGGAACAGTAGCGGTCCTAGATTGGATCCCTGTGGTACTCCAGAACATGCGGTGAACTTAAAACTTCTTTCTCCTTCATACTCAACATACAGATTTCTATCCGACAGGTAACATTTCAGAAGGCTTTGAAGTTTAGTGGAAATTCCAAATTGGTCCAGCTTCCTCAACAGCAATTGATGAGACACTTATTATATAGAACACTGTGACAAAACTATTGGTGCTTCATCGTACTGGTACACAGATGATATTGGAGGAACGAAATGGGCTCCGCAAAGTGTTGAAGAAACAATACAGATTGTTTATCGAATCGTATTAAGAAAATAAGAAAGGATTACATTTGGCATAGAGTCTTCTTTTTTGAAGCTTCATGATTCAAAGTGAATTCACACAAGAATTATGATTATTGAATTTTCCTGTTTTATTTCTGTTAATTACTACTGTCACTTTTTACTTGACAAAGTCACTTTTGACCCGAATAAAACATGATATTTTTTCTGCAACCGAAAGAATTAACTAAAATAAATATGTGAAGTAACCATCAATGTGATTTAGTGACTTACTTGACAGATTATTATAATACTTTTATTATAATAATATTTGTAAGTAGATAGAAGCAAGACCTCAGACTACTTTACATTAGAATATTGGTGGACGATGACTTTACTTTGTTACAATTTGTGTTGACATGCATCATCAGATTACTGGATGCCGTGACATATGTATGCAATGCAACGAATAACTCACGTGGTGAGAATATTCTACCTGCATTACACATCAGGTTTATTCAATTTTCAAGGATGTTCGAATTGAAGTTTCAATTCATTTGGAGCAGGTCAACAATAATAATAGCGATTTTTTATTTCTCCCCATATTCCACTATGTTTGGCTCGGTAATCAAAAACTGTTAAACAATATCGTTGTAACACCCTGAAGGAGGATATGATGAATGCGTTTGAACCATGGTTCAAACTTATTCACGCAAGATAATTGTATGAAAAGGTAGGTGTATACTCACTGATTTAAGATTATGTTGGAAGAGCACATAGGTAAGGTCCTTCGACACCTGATACCCTTTAACATTCAATTGTCTCTGAAAAAAAATCAGTTTTATGTATTCGACATTCTGCATCTACGTATTATTATAGTAAGATATATTTGAAGAGCTCACCAGAGTATTATTCGTAACTAAAACTGAAACGCTGATATTTTTGCTAGTATCTAGGATTGAAAGGCTACCGTCATCTGATTGAAAGACGAAGTGAGTGGGGGATATCCATGAGGAAGGCAATCGTTTTGGATTCAGATCACCCTGAAACAAAGCAATATTCATATAAGAGCATTCTGAAATAAAATCATGGCATCATGTATTTTCTCAATCTTGAGTTTTTGGGAATACTTCCATAGGTAGAGAATTCAAAACATGAGCCGTTCATTGAGCAGGCGAGTTTTGGTAGTGAGTTGCTCGACAGATATCGAGGTTAATGGAAATAGATGATTTTCCTGTATACAATTCACTTATTTGGTATATCAGTTCTTGGGAAACCCAGATATTTCACCTTTAAAACCAATTACAACAACCGATAAATTTATTAGCGGCATACCTGCCTGCACTAGATTTACACTAACGACTGAACTTCCATGAAATGGACAAACATTTTCTGAGGTAGGTTGAAAATAAATTGCCACAGTTGGGGCAATAAAGTTGCAAACATCTGAGAGAGACCATGATATCTCAACTCGGGAATATAGGATAGTCGTAGTTGGAAAGAATATTGAATTCAATAAAGTTGGTATTTGGCTAATCGACGAAAAAAATCCATCAGCATTCTCAGATGTTCTCATGAATAAATTCAAGGGAATGAAGTTCATTTTATTGGCAATTATAGATTGATGAACCTTGTTCTTGATTTTGAATAGATATTTTCTCAACTTCACTGAGACTGAAATTGAATTGAATTCGTCTCGTGGGTGATGCCTCGCTCACAAACTCACTCACTTCTCTGGAACACCGTTGGCGATCTGGCTCTATTTTATATAGATATTTTCATGGACGATGCTCTTCTGAAATATCAACAATTGTTCCTCCCTTGGCAGTCCCTGCGAGATTAACCCGTCGAGTTGAGGCTTCGCACCCCTTCGTGGTCACTTTGAAGACCTGCAGTACATCTCTTTCCAAAGACTCGTTCATCCAACGAACAGCGAGGCTCAGGAACACATTGCCAAGGGAGGTGTTCCCCGAGGCATATGGCCTCCAGCAGTTTAAGAAGAACACCAATTCCTACCTTATTGCCCTTGGTTCTCACGATGTTCTCTAAACATTACAGGATATCGCTTTTCGTGGGAACCAGAACATAAAAAAAAACTAGATAAGCACTCGCTTTTGTTGCTATTGAGAAATTTCTATAGCATCAAAGATTCGTGCATCTATCAAGTTGAAATTATTAAAAAATTACCACCACTTGTATAATTACTGTTGAAAAATTCATTTTTTCTCCGATTGGCAGCAAATATTAATTTTGCTGACACATATCAATCAGCAAAGTATTACTTTTCCTGCCTAGGCAGCAAAGTGGGTACTTTGCTGCCTAGGCAGCAAAGTGGTTACTTTGCTGATCGATATGTATCAGCAAAATTAATAATCCATAAATTGTTTATAATTTCCTTCATATTTCATTCGAGACTTCTCCGGCAACAAATTCAACTCTATATTTTTTGCCACCTCCCTTATTTCTGGAGGTGTGAGTACTTCCAGGTCGCTATCACTGTCCATTATATAATAATTTAAATATACCAATATTTTTTCGCACAACTGTCAGAATTTTCATGAATTTTCTAACTATAATTATCATGGACAACTGCGATTTCTATCAAATTTCATTTTAATTGAACACTACAGGAAAAATAAAGAGATTGTGGGAATTGTAATAATTTCCAATTACAAAATCCTCCTAGATCATTATGAACAATCGGAGAAAAAATTATATGTTCAACTCGGCAGTCAATCTACTACTTTGCTGCCTAGTTAAACAAATAACTATTTTGAGATATTTCCAATAGTTTTGCCCAAATTGCTTTTCTCCCGAGATATGTAAGTCAATGGTCATACAGTCATTCATTTTCTCTCATTTTGGAATTATTTTTCTGTGTGAAAATCAAGAATCAAGGAAAAGAATTGATTGGATTGAAAATTTGATTTTCTGAGGAACTTTTGATCGTTTCTTCCAAATTGCTGCTTTCCGAAGGTATGTAACTCAATCTTTATACAGCCATTCTTTTTCCCTCTTCTTTTGCATTTTTTGAGGTACTTCAGCTGGTATTTTCAGTCGTTTGGGTTACCCATGGAGCGAAAAAAAAATCAAAGCCGTTCAAAAAATAACCAAGGGAGGTTAGTTCGTGCATGGACACATTGTATGAAGCTGATGTTGATTTCATTACCTCTAGTAATTCTTCGAGTTGCATTCGTTGGCCATGCCAATAGAGGAGTTCATCTACGTAACCAACAATGAAAATGGCCGCCACTATTCCAGAAATGACCAAGCCGATAACCAGTAGAGAGAATATTATGGACCACCAGTTATGCCCTTCATCGTCGTGTAGTGCTAGCTCCTGCAAAATCCACCAAAATTGAGAAAATAATTTCATATAGGAAGAGTACATAAATATAATGTGAGAACTTTAGAGTAGAAACATAATAAAAATGGTAGAGCATTACCCATTTGTATGTTTGTATTTATAATAATTCATGCTTCTATTTCTTCGTGCTTAAAGGAATTAAAACTATCCAGATACTCTTATATTCATTTCCAAAGAACACTTGAACTGAATACGTTTCAAGTGCCTATATACCCTGTGTGTATAACACCACGAATCGACTTACTCTTAGACACCTCCCCTCGTGCTGGATCCCGCAATACTTGCAATTATTGTTTTTCCTAAATTTCACCAAGCCAGCAACTACACTTGGTCTACTCTTTTCTGTATTCTTATTATCACTATCTGGACAATGGTTACCATCAAGTAACTCTAAGCACTCACTGTTAGTTTTGGTTCTCGTTTCAGAGTTGTTTTTCGTAATCGCAGACATTAAAAGAATCTCAACAACTACCTAAGTCTTCGAACAAAATAATTCCCTCAACCAGGTTGAAGTTTTGCAACCTATGTGCAGGTATTTGCGTTTTGAACTGCCGAAAATCTCTTTGAGAGCTCAGTTTGCGTCGATTGTTAGTATAAATAATGAAGCTTACATGATGGTGTATATTTTGGCTCATTTAGCACAGTAGATTCACCGAAACAAGACTAGAGGTAAGAAATACTTGAACACCTGTGAAGCCTAGTGGAATTTTTGCAACATTACAAGGTATCACGTGATCCCTACACCGAATCCATTGATGGGCTTTCTACAATATACTAGTCGAATATTGAAACTGTTTATACAGAGTGACACAAACAGTGCATTTTTACTCCAATTTCAAAACACTCTGTGGAGTGGCTAAGCTGGCACATCATGTAATTTATCATTTAATTATCAAGCTATACGTTTTCATTTGTTACGGTAACTATTTTTTTGTGAAAGTTACAAGGGTCTCAGGAAAACGATACATTTCTACATTTTTCCTATGGTAATAAAAAAGTTCCCCAAGGAATTATTTCTTGCAAAGCTGGCTGTGACATCGAATGGTTGAATAAGATATGGATTTTTCTGCAACTGACTCCTGCGAAAGATATTGCTTTGATGCAGGATGGTAGATCACAATATTATGTGGCCAGAGCTTTGGGAGTTTCAAGATCTAGGGTGCAAAGAGATGTTAAACGGTTTCGTAAATTTGGTGTATTCACAAGAAGAGGTAAAAGTGGTCGGAGGAAATCTACGAATGATCGAGAAAATCGCTTCATAACGCTCAAAGTTTTTAGGGACAGAATACCCACTTTTGTGCAAATTGAATACAAATTAGGGGAGGTGGGGAATGTTTACGTCAGTAAAAGAACAATAAAAGGGGGGCATTTTGATATTGGACTCCGGGCAAGAAGACCTGCAACTGGTCCAGAGTTATTGAGGAATCATCGAGTTGATGATATGCTAGGGAACACGAATATTGGGGTGATGAGCAATGGAGCAATATCCTATCTACCGACGAGTCACGGTTTTGTCTCATATCACATCAGGATGGACGTGGAAAAATTTACCGAAGAACTAGAGAACGTTTTTTCCGAAACCATTTTTATCCAGGAGTGACTCACGGAAGCGATTCGATAATGGTGTGGAGTTGTGAAGCTCGAACGTACTAAGTCTTAAAACCACATGTTGTTTCATTTGCGCCGTTCATCGGAGACGATTTCATGCTGTTGGATGGATGACAGTGCCGTCAGCATGTTGCAAGAATTGATAATGAGTATTCAGCCGATGTTGAAATCCCAGCAATGGATTGGCCTTCTCGAAGCCCAGATTTGAACCCAATGGAACATGTTTGGGATTCTCCTGCAAATTCACAGGAACTCAGTGAAGTTTTAATAGATGAATGATAGCAAATCGATCAGGCGTATATTGGAAATCTGATAATGGTCAGGCAGCAGTTATTCGTGCACATGGGGAAAAAACATCGTGCTGATTTCATTATCATCTTAACAATTTTATGATTTCATTCATAATCATCATCATTGCTTTTTTTCAAAAGTTAATTATCACCATAATGTCGAAATATAACTTTCTTCTGGAACCCTTGTGACTTTCACAAAAAAGCAATTATCGTAACAAATGAAAATAATATATTTCAGCTGTTTTCGAAAGTGACGAGAATAAAAAAAATGTGTTCAAAGATTAAATTGGAACTGACTCATTCTCTGCATTCTCATGTAGAACTAGATTTGAGAAAAACGTTGAGAAAAATCACGTCAAGCTGAAGGAGGTACTAGCGATAGAAAATGAAGATTTAAATTTTTCATACCGTTTCCATGTGAGACAGCATATAATTCCGCGGATTTTTCGATGTACCATCCGTGCTAAAATACAAATAGTCCATAAAGAATAGGCTTAATCAAGCACAGTTCAAAAATAGACCGAAATAGTGATTTATTTACCTATATTGAATGAGCTGCACACTTTTGTTTATGTTCGCTTTGATTCGCATAGCGTAAATAAACATCGATTTCAAGTAAACTAATGAGAAATTATTATACATATTTCATGGTGGTTGAACATAATATGTACAGGGTGATTCACCATGAATGCCCCCCCCTCTAGCTCAGTTATTTTCAAACCGATTGCAAAATTTTAAATATCATCTAAAATGATTTTCGATAGAGTTTTTATTTCGCCTACATCAGAAAATACACGGTGCTCGGAACAAACGCTCTATTTGATTTTTTTATAATGGAACACCCTATTTTTCATTATATTTTTAGATTCTTCCGGAAGAGCTGATTTCATCGATGTATCACACTTGGGGTCTAGCGAAAATGATTACAAAGATATAGGGTGTTCAAAATCGAGATTTTTCAACTTCAGGATTTTTTTGTGACGAAACTATTCATTATCGGTCAAAACGGCTTCCATGTCCGTATCTTAACTTTTGATTTACTATCTACTGACATTTAATAATTGGAACAGATACAGGGTGATCAGAATTCTGAATCTTGAGCCACACTGTATATGTTCCAATTAAATGTCAGTAGATAGTAAATCAAAAGTTGAGATAGAAACATTGATGCCGTTTTGACCAATAATGAATAGTTTCGACACGAAAAATCACAAAGTTGAAAAATCTCGATTTTGAACACCCTATATCTCTGTAATCATTCCTATCCCAAATGTAGAATTTTAAAATTTTTAAAAATACGATGAAATATAGGGTGTACCATTTAAAATAATCAAGTAGTACTCTGTAGATGGTATGTTCTGGTGTGTAAATTTCTGGAAAATCATTTTAGATGATTCTTCAAATTTTTAAATCGGTTCAAAAATAAGTGAGCTAGAGGGGGGGGGCATTTATGGTGAATCACCCTGTACCTACATGTACACATAGTATCATCCAATATAATGGGATTCAATATTTGTATCAGGATACATAAAACATACTTGCATTGAAGTTCTATTCAATAATAAGAAAAATGATTTCTCAATGAACACCACTATACAGAGTGGACACATTTCGATGTTTATATAGGACAGTAACTAGAGATGATACTAAAAATAGAAGTGATATCTCAATCCCTTGTTTTGAGGTAAATTCACTGGTGGAAACAAAAAAATTCAATGGGGCTAGTAATTTTTAATAAAATACATATTCGAGAAATGTTGTACTGTACAAAATAGGACAGTACTATAATCTAGGCTACTTGGAGGAATAGTTGAATGAATGTGCTATCCTTACTATTATTATTTTTACTAAACATTCCAATACTTCGAGCTGTCAATCTACTATTGCTACTGCATTATGTAATCTATTTGTGAACCTCAGATAGTTTCTAAAGTCAAATGTGTATACCATTGTCTGCTGAACATGGAGACAAAATCTAGTGAGCTGTAATATCTGGTCTGTTCAAATAAGGGATATCACCTACAGGTTTCTGTGGCCGATACAGTAGTGCCGCCATACGGTCATTTCGAGGAAACACTTATTTCAATTGTTTTCCTGTCAAACCTACATAACCTTGAAAATCGTATACGAGTTCCTCTCGGCAGTCTCGGCGCACAACACAAAACTATATCTATAAACGGAAGAAATATTAGAGCAATGAGAATTTAAAAATTGTAGAATACAAAACAAGTCACGATGCCACGACAGCTCTTGACACTGACAACTTACATAACCATAAATTTCGAAGATTTTCTAGAAAAAAGTGAAGATCATTTCGTCTGATACCAGTAGTTACAGCTCACTAGATTTTGTCTCCATACTTAGCAGACAATGGTGTATACTATTCTATTTGAAATTTCTTAGTGCATATGCAACATCTGTTCATTACTGGTGCTCCAATACTAAATACATCGACTTCTGAGTTCAGGAGTAGTCGAGTATTTTTGAAGTAAAAAAAAAACAAAAATAAATTGGGCAATTTATATTCACGAGTATTGTGAAATATCACTTCATGTAAATGACTGATTCAATTTCCACTCCAAAACATTTTGTTTCGTTTATATAGCGATTACGAATTCTTCAAAATACTCAGTGACACTTTGTTAACACGCCTAAACAATATTTCTCCGAATCCTACAGCCCAAGTTTGGGTGAGTCTGATAAATAAATCAAATATTCAGACTAAACTACTTATCTAAAAATCTAAAAGTAAAACAAATATTTATATATAAATAAATGAGAATATAATGTATGTATAGGTACTAAAACTAAAGTCAGTACTCATTCCTTATAAGACATACCACTATGCTGAACCATTCCAGTTGCACTAACAGTAGTGAACTCACCAACATTTCTACCTGATTATTGAAATAGATATTCACTAGTTAGGAAACGAGTAATAATTTCGTGTGACGATGGGATTTTGTAACTGACAACAAAACGTATCTATACGTATAATCTTCTGATTGGAAGTACAAAGTTAAAAAACATTGTTTGTAAAATTCGCTACTTCAAAGTTGGGGCCCAACTCTC